CCTCTCGATGGTGTTCCATCGTCGCAGGTTGTTCACCCAGCGCCCACTGACACCATAACGGAGCCACAAGCCATCACTTGACATTTACACAGCTCCAAATGTGACAATAGACTCACTGATGTTTTTTGTTTTAAAATAATTGGAAAATCAATTCCGGCATCGAAACAATTGTGACCTAAAATTGATACATAATAATTAAGTAGTTTCAGTTGTTTTTTTACGGGGGGAAAAGCATCGAATGACTTCTCCAGCCTGGGTGAGGCGGGAGGGAGTGTCAGACTCTTACTGACTGAAAACCACCCCGTTCCTACTCCTGCACGTCGAGCCGGAGCCCCGGCAACCCGTTAAGTCTTCCGCGGCTCAATTTCACATATTAGAACTATAATTTTGAAGCATAAGATAGATTAAGTAATAACTATGTAACATATTTTATAAGGATATCACTTCAAAATGAAAATCAAATAAAATTCTGTTAAATAACATCTTTTAGTAAAAACTAGATACAATATTAACTAGATGAAAAGAATGGTACATATTGAGGAGCTCATCTGGTATTTTTAGTGATATCGTCATGTAAGTGTGTATGTCTAACATTTGGGATGAAGTCTTTGTTATTAGAATGACCTCAATTGCTGTAGTACCAGCACAAGAAGATCTCATAGTCAAGTCATATGGTTACCTACACGTGTTCGTTGTTTTACACGGTCACATGCTCCGTTGACCCACGAAATCATTTTACTTTCTTAACTCGTCGAGTACCGGTTTTGCAGACACAATTATAGAACAATAGGTTGCGGTCACCGGTGACCGCTTGGTGTTTGACAGTTTAAATCGCCTCACCTACACAATGGTAATGATTTTTTAAGTACCTCTTTAAAATAACTTCATTAAAGAGTAGTTAATGATTCTATTTATTAAATTACTAGGTAATTAATTATTCATTTATAAAAATGTGTTTACTTAGCTTATTATACTATTAGAGAAAACTCTACTAGTTTCTTGATACACAGGGGCTTATAATCTTGAATAGCACGTTCACTTACTTACCCAAATTAATTTATACTGACGTAAATGGGTTTAGAGATTTCCTGGTTTTTCATTTTAATCATTATTATATTTCCAAGAATTTGAGTGATCAATCTCGAATAACCATTGTTCACATTTATTAGAATCTATTTTCCTTCAGCATATCCTAATGGGAACTTGAGAAAATAAGGCTCCATTATTTTTGTTATCACGGGGAAAACGTCTCGTTGGCCGAGTGGTCGCAAGTGCGACTACCGGGCAAGGGGTTTCGGGTTCGATTCCCGGGTCTGGCAAAGTATTACTGGGTTTTTAAAAAATTCTCAGTAGAAGCACGGAGTCTGGAATTGTGCCCGGTATATGGCAATAGGCCCATTACATGGGACTCATAACATAATAAGTGAAAAGTGGGTGTTACATTTTTTAATTTCTTTTTCTTTTTTGGCAACCGAGTCTCCAAAATGGTGTTGTCGACTATACTGCCAGTGTCGAGTGGTGACGGCAAAATGATTGAACCGTCGAATTTAACTTTGTGGTAGTTTTTAGTTGTTAGTAGCTGAAAGGACAAAACAATTAGGTTAGTAAACATAAACATTATGTTACATTATACAGTGGCATAATGTGCACCTCTGCCTACCCCTTCGGGGATAAGAGGCGTGATGTTATGTGTTGTTATGTGTTACGGGGAAAACGCGTAGCTTTATGTATGCGACTATGTATGTAGAATCGTTTAAAATTTGAATTATTTACATTTCTCAAAGAAGCTCAAGTAGGTATCCCAATAATCCAATACTCAATCTCAAGGCATATCCCTTTCGATAGTTCTAAAATAAACTCAAATAAATAGTACACATAAGTGTAGGAACCATGTCACGAATTGAAGACAAAAATAGCAATATCACACCCGTAGTACAACGTCATGTCCAAAATGGGCAACGACTTACTATGTTTTGTTGTGCCAATCGTTTTATGTGTTGTCGTATCTATTCGCTTGTGTACAAGTGCCAATTTGTTGTCACAAAGGAGATACGTAATAAGTAATGACGTAGAAAACATATCAATGTTAGAAAAGGCCATTTCTGTAGTAGGTGGTTTAATATTGATTTTCTTATAATTAGATATTGCTCTATAAATACTTTATTGTTTACTAGTTTTGTGTCGTCGTAAACTATATCGTGTATTGAATGTGTGTTCCATTAGTCTACTACGCTGAATTCCGAAAATAGAAGTTAGTATTGGGCACAAACGAGAAATGATAGTAAAATTTCATTGTTTAGAATATTTAGATGGTATTTTGGGTCATCATTGAGATTTTCTCAAAATAGTAATGCGATATTATTATTGAAACTTTATTGTTATCTATTTGCAGACAATATGATTCCTAACATCTGGAATTTCATACGTAGGTAGGAAGGTAGGAAGTTGTGTTCACCGGTAACATGTCTATACGCACCAACATTGTTGTTATACTATTGTAGCACGTGGCAGATGCTCCTCGTGGCTGGCTAGTATCTGTCTATGTATCTCTATCACTCCAGTCTAAATGGTTTTATTAGTGTAGCTGTTATGGACTATGTTATTAATTCTAACCTGTGCATGGAACTGTTTACAAAGCTTATGATCAGGTCCATTTGTGAAGTGATATGCGTATCTGCAACTACTTATAAGCAGCTACTTACTCATATCTACTTTTCTATTGAACCTAGTGACATCTATTTAACTTCATTTATAAATTAACTCGTCGAGTACCGGTTTTGTAGACACAATTATAGAACAATAGGTTGCGGTCACCGGTGACCGCTTGGTGTTTGACAGTTTAAACCCAGGAATTTGTGTTCACCAGTCGTATATAACTTTATACTATCGTGGAGGGAACCATGAATCAGACTATGAATAACTAGCGTTTATACCGTATAGGATAGACAATAGGGGTTAAATGCAAGCGTTGGTTTACGCCTGTTTTCAGAGGTCACGCTAACATTTGGCCCATCTGTACCAAAATATGGCTTTCCCACATGAAAATACTCTACATAGTAATATTTTGAGATTTCAAATAAGATCTATTTTTCTCTAATAAGTAGGTTGTATACACAATCTGTTAACTAGGTCTTTGAGCAGCAGATGTTCTTGTGTCGACATTTATTTGCAATATGTGTCCGATAAGGTCAATGGTTTAAACGGAACTACATCTGGTATTAAATTGATAGATCTGTAGACCTAAAAGCGACAAATGGTCCCTCCATTAAACAATTTTTGTTTCTGTTTTACCTACATAGCTAATTGAACGTTTATGTTCGTAGTTTTATTCGTTCAATTATTACTATCTCTGTTAATAAAGTCTATATTGCATCTACACGGCAATTAAAACAACATCTGCACGTTGTTTATTATTCCACGCAGATTAAAGTCACCATCTATAGTTAGAAACAGTTGTTTGTACTTAGTACTCAATCTGTATGTCCTATAAACATGGGAAATTACGAGTATATACCCTGCACAACAGACAGATACAGCCAATTACAAGATAGGAAACACAACACTTAGTGTTCTGAGGAAGTACACGTAGCGTCAACCTCTTAACGAGAAACATACTCATGCTTCAGGTAAACCATTACTAATAACTCCAGTAGGTACAGCCGTACAGGTAAATTGAGGCATAAATTAACAAACAAGGGTCACCGCTAATTTGACACTTAACGAACTAAACAGTAGATAAGGAAAGAAAGGCAGCTGTAAGGTCGACCACATTGTCTTGTTCCTTACTAACCCTGCCTTGAAGCCATAAAGGTGGTAATACCACATTTAAGCTCGTAACTTGCTGGATATTAGCCAATTAAGTGCCAAAGACAGGTGGACTCAAGGTCCTGAGAGAATCGCACAGGACACGCTAACAAATCCTGACATCAGCCGGCCTTCATTATTTTACAAATATACTTTTGCCATTTCCAAAATCCTTCACATCTTTATAAACGATGTTATAAAGTTCAGAATTGTGAATCAGGTGTGTAGTTTAGATGTATGTGTGTGTTTGTCGAGAAGCTTGAAGTTTGTAGAGGCTACAAGGCCATCGTCCTCCTACGGTCACCCATATAACAATGCTAATAGTAGTGACTCACTCGTACATAGTGCTGGGGTTAGTCCTGCAAGACTGCAAGGATTGTAGTCTATTTAAGTGCAGGATAATGGAGAATTATGTGTGTTTCATGGAAGATGACACGCCTTAACTGTGAGTGACGGAAGTAATTGTCAAGACAATGAGCTGCATAACACTCATTTAGTAGCTAGGTACAAGTTAATAGGTAAGTTATTTAGAAAAGAAGGTAACATGAGTCAAACTTAGTGAAAACTGAAACGATAAGTAAAGAACGGGACAGGAGATCACAGTTGGTAGAGGATAATAATGATGTCCTAAATACGGAGAAAATGGGAAATCGAGGTACGATTGCTGTTAATTTTATATTTCCATACGTTTTTTTATACGGTACAAGACTTGAATTAATATGGAATAGATAAATCTTGCTTGAATCACATCACTAATCGTTGTGATGGCAACTAGCGTGTTTTACATAGCTTCACTTTTTTACCGCTGCGTCTGTGGGTGGTAATGGATCAAATTTTGGATTTCCTCCCGGCGACCACATTAATTTAGAGAATTTGGATCCAATTTCAATGTGATAATGACCTTGTTTATTATTCGTTAGAGTTGCTATGTTAATTCTATTTTCATCATTTCTTTATTGACTTATTTTTACCGCAGAAGGTATATAGGATTATTTTTGTATAATTTCCCGAAGGCGAAGTGCTGAAGATCGAGTACAGTGACGTAATATTAGTCTTGGAGAAAGGAGAGGCCTATGGCCAGCATTGGATGGTAACAGAACAGACTGATGGTAATGATAATTATGTTCTAGGTTAATCAGTTTGTCAGAATAGTCGACTTGCGTTTGCAGATTGCGAACATTAGAAAGATGGCTGCATAAATAAAAAACAATTTGTTTCTTAACCAATTTACTTCATATCAATAAACACATTGAAGCATTTCATTTCAGCAATGTCGTGTAAAACAGATTTAATTATTTTATTAATATTCTAATGGTATCGTAACAATTAATTATTATTTATAGCACTGCCAATAACTTTACAAAACAGGTAACACAAACATACTGCCTTGTAATGACGATACATACATATTGTCTACAATCAAGTATATGATTAGTAATCAATTAATCAATGTTTCTATTAAGGTACTAAAAAGCTATAATATCTACATTATGTGGAACTAAATGAGCGTATGAGTATTTTATGTGAGTATTTGATTCAGCAATATTTAAATTGTATAACAATAATTTATTTATTAACAAATTGAGGCATTTTTTATTCCGACATTGACGTGAATTTTACTATAAAACTTTCTATAAGTAATTGGAATTTGATATCGGTAACTCAATATCTTAAACAATTTCATGTATAGAGACACATTGTATATTGTATAACATAAAGTTATCTACAACTGCGTTTTTATGTACACTTATATTTTAAGCTGCATCTTTGAACCTAATCTAACTTTTTCTCTTTCGTTCGTGAGTGCGTTTACTAACATATTTCTACAGTATTAAATGGTTATTACATAGATAAACATAATATAGACCCGGAACAGATGTACTTGTGTACTAGTTTTTGTTCCGTGTGGGACTTCTACCCACAACACAGATTTATTTATAGCTTAAAGTCCTAAATCTGTTCAAAAATTCACAAAATGTTGTAAAGCAATTCCTACAACTTCATTGTTCCATATTTATTTATTACAAAATCGGGTAAAATTATATGCATTTTTATTACTTTTACATCTAAGTCCAAGGAGTTCTTCAGGGCCATATTTTGGGACCAACGCCCAAATAAAATAATTGTTATTTCAAATTGAAACGGCTATACAACATGATGCAAAGTTTTTTCATTTATTTATCAAATAAATAGACAAACAGGCGTGAAGTTCGGTATTTATATATATATGTATATTTAAAATCTGTCAAATATAAAAACTAAATCAAATTGTTAAAATTACTATTATACATAGGCTTGGATACAATTATCAGACTGGTTTAGGTTCAAACATCCACCTCGTGTCGGACTAGCTATCACTGTATTACCTCACTCCCTTCTTAGGACTTCGTTGTCTTTGACGCCTTGGGTTTGCCCCATGCTTTTAGATTAGGTTGTGGCAACTCCTTGCAGTCCACCAGTGGGTTGGTGGCACTGACGGCCTCCATCACTCGAGGCTGGGCCTGGTCCAAAAGGTCTTCGTTCGCGCAAATGACTCCAGCTAAGGTGGTCTTGCGGATTTCTGCTAGTTGTTCTGTAGGAGATAGAAATGCTTCATTAAAAAGTGCTCTAGTGTTATTTTTTGAACGTCTTTGAATAATGATAATAATAAAAATAATAAAATTTTATTCATAATTCAAAAATGCAAAATACAAAATATGTTTCAAGTAAGTAAAATTGATCCCATAAAGTTAGAAGTATAGAATGGTGTTTAACTTGGTTCTAACTACTTGTAGAAATAAAGCAAGATAATAATAATGTAAGACAAAATAATGTAGCCAATAAGTAAACTTACCCAAAGTAAATGCAAGGGTGGGATCGGAAGATTCGTACCAGAACCGGTCGCCGACCTTGATCCTGTAGAACTGGTCAGCGATGAGGCAGGTCAGGGTGGGGCCTAGGAGACGACCCTTAGGGTCCTCTGCTAACGCACCCGTGTATAGGTCGATATCGTCTACTGAACTGTAAAAAGGATTGGGTTATTTTGACTGTCTTCTTTAACTGATTGGAGAGAGAACGAAACTCGAAAATCCCCAAAAGGGCAGCAACGGACTGGTAACTTCTCTAGTGTTGTGGGTGTTCATGGGTGGCGCCGCCGCCATGCCAATTGCCAATCATAAGTGGTTCCACTTTCGAGGCCAAGAAAAGTAAGTATATTAAAGATTGTTTATCAGCTTCGAAAACTTCAGTAACAGCACACAGTTTGTAATTTGTTCATAAATTGGAAATGTCATTATATAAAGATAACACAGAAATGAAGGCTATTTCATCAAAAGCCCTCAATGGATCTCACTTTGTCGGTTACTTACTTGTAAATCTTGCAAATCCTACTGAGCGAGGACTCGTCGAATATAGCTTGTAAGTCGGTGAAGTTCTTCGGCCTGGACAGTCCGCAGTGCTCCCTCCACTGAGGGTAGGCAGGTAGACCATGGTCCCTGCCGCGCTGGATGTTCAGGGAGACTAAGTCCAACCCACATGGACCCGGCTTCTTGTCATCAGCATCTGATGTATTGGCGATCACTGGTTTCTCGAACAAATGGTTGCTTAGCTAGAAAAGAAGACGATATCTTTAAATTATGAAGTTGAGGAATCTGAAGCTGGTTTGAACTTTCAAAATTGGTCAGAATTGTTTCAAGCAAAAGATTATTTCTTGTTGTTTATTGATATTAAGCTACATCATAATCTTTTAATTACAGTACCTCAGTAGTAACATGTGGGTCCACAGCGTGTACGAGGGTGGCCATGGCGGAGGTGACGGCGTCTATGGGACCCTTCTTGGTGTACAACGTGTACGGGTTGAACAACATCTGGTGCAGGTGCGTGTACTGGATCGTGCCCGTACTCTTGTCTGTGTTGTGGATCAGACCCTGGAATAGCAAAATAGTGATTAATTCAACATAATCAACAGTTTAAGTGTGGGAGAGCCATGTTTCAGCTCGACCAGGTGATACCACGGCCTCACAGAAAACCGACGTGGAATAACGCTTGCGTTGTGTTACGTCGTGTAAGTGAAGTTATCGAAGGCCCAGTTACACCCCTCCCCAACCCCCCCAATCCGGGAGTCCACAAAAATCCTCAAATTTCTAATCCACACTTGTAACGCCTCTGGTGTTTCGTAAACCACAGATATAAGATTGCGAGCAGCTGTGATTGTGAATTTGTGGTAGACCTCTTCCACATAAAAGAATGATGAAGAAGAATAAGAGAATTATGTTTCCCAAATTCATCTTACCGGTAGCAATGTGTGTGCGAATCTGAAGACACAAGAAGCGAAGTGGTTGGCGATGGAAGGGTCCACGGTCGGGTCGTACACGTCGGAGTAGCCCTCCTCCTCCACTGTCATGTTCAGGGCCCACATTACGTCCGATCCTGTTATAAACATTTACCAATATTAATATTTACGGGCTCCCTACGAGGTCGAAAATAGTTGGGAATCCTCGTATTGTTACAAAGTGAACAAAAACTTATATTACAAATCCATTAATTAATTGTAAACTAAGGTGACGTTAGGATCGTAAATCACAATTATAAACATTGTAATGGCTTTTATCAGAGTAGGTTCAAAATCTTGTTCAATTATGAATTAGCAATTGCAATCACTTGAACAACATTTTTAAGTAGCAATCAAAAATGGGACTCCCGAACATGATCTGGTGATCAGTAGAAGGTTACATATCTACTCCCTTTTTGATATTCATCTATCCCACTTACCAAGTATGCTAGGCAGGAACTCAGAATAGGTGATATGTTGCATCTGTGCCCCAAGTATCTTCCTGGCCTCCTGGTACACGGTGTCGTCGTCCCACAGCGGGTTGTACTTGCGCAGCGCGGCGGCCACTCGGTTGTGTTGTCGCGCCCAGATTAGATGCATCGTTGTCAGGTGGAGGTTCTCGTTTGCTCGGTCATCTCCTGGAAATGGAGAGAAGACATTAGCAAAAGGAACCTTTATCCTTTAACCTTTAAATGAATCTTTAAGGGAATTTTGATGTTTTGATCACAGAGAAGGTTGTGTTAAGAAAGTTGTGTTTTAAGCTGTGCTTTGAATAGAAGTAATGGACGAAATTTTCAGATATGGTCTAAGTCCTATACAGATTAAGTAGGATATCAGTACTTTTAACAAGGCGATAAGTACTCATTTTGGATTAGACTAAAACTTAGACATGTATAAGATTCTTGTTAACAGTAACCAGTGTTTATAGAAGTCATACTTGCCATGACAACCGTTAGTAACTATCTTATCAAATCATCATCAACAGCCTATAAGTGGCCATTGCTGACCAAAGGCCTCTTCTCACACGGAGAAGGTTTGCAAGCATTGATCACCACACGTGCTCAATGTGGGTTAGCGATTTCAAACTAATAATTAGAAAATAAAATCCCAGGTTTCCTTACGACATTTTTCTTCACCGTTTGTCAGTGGTGTCTAGATAACTCGAAAAAAGTCATCAATAGTCAGTTGGTAGGTTTCAAACCCACGCTCTCACATATGAGAAACGGGCGTGTTAACCTTCCGGGCCACCACAACATTTTCAACGCCATCAAATCCTACCTGATTCAAAGCAGTATCGTCCCTTAGCGTTCATCTCAGCAGTGTTGCAGCTGTCGTTAGGGTCGGTAGAGGGCGGCAGTAGTTGGGTGGCTCCTATCTTCAGCATCCGCAGTTGTCCTCCAACGAAGGACCGTAATGACGCACTACGGGCCTCTGCGAACCCGTACACTGTGGACGCGTCTATGAATGCTGTAGCCTGGTTCAACTGCTCTCTGGGACCTGGAAAATAGATATTATGAAGTATTATAAATATCGTTTTTGAAAGTTTTTGTTTCACAGCTTTCTAAATAATGGCTTAATGATATATGGTCATTAATACTCCATGTCAGTTCACTACTGCAATTAATATGGGCCTCTACATTAGAGGAGATGTCGCGGAGAACCGAACGGGTAACCAGGGCTCCGGCTCGACGTGCAGGAGAAGGAACGGGGTGGCTTTTAGTAAGTAAGAGTCTGACACTCTCATTAGAGGAGATTGCCATAGTCTCCCCTCGTGTTAGGCGAGTTGGAGACCGCATTTTAAAAGGTTCAGGTTTACCAAAGAACGCTGCTGACCAGTTAAATTATATTTTTTTAATAACTCAGCCACTACTAGTTGTCTCTTACGACGCGGGAAGAATTGGGGCGATATCACATCACATCATAACACATCCAAATAATTTGTAAAATTAAGTAAATAAGTTTATAAACGTACCGAAATGGCAAGTGGGAGCTGGTGCAGACCTCACGAACTCCATGCAGGTGATGTTATAGTCCTGGTAGAAGGGATCGTCTACATCCAGTTGTACTGGGAAACACTCCGGGTGAGGAGTCTGTGTCGGGTCGCAGCAAGATAGAGCTGTGCCGTTTTGACCTGGAGATAGAAAGAGAGAGAACATTAGCTAACTTGGTATGTTCTACATTTTATTTTTGGTTGCCAAGCTATGGGGCTCATAAGGTAAGTACGGAAAAATAGACAGATAAATGATAATTACTACTTGGTAGTCGATGCAAAACATTAATAAATCGATCTCGATAAGGATGCATGAAAACAACATTCAGAATAATATGAACGTGATATGTGAGTGGGGTCGAATGTGATTAATATTTTATGAGTCTTCCCATTTAAAAAGACAAAAGTCTTATTCTTATAATACAGGCAGTATTGAAAAGTTCGTACTCTTTTCTTCCAGCAAAGACCTTTTAACTTATCTAGTGTTTCTCAGGTGTCCCGTCTGCAGCTCTTCCTTGCTATAGGCCTATGCTACCGTAATCTTTTCTTATCCTTGTTTATAACCTACCTTTGCTAAGAGCAGTGGCAGTGATATCATGGTCCACGAACTGTCCCCAGACGGCCAACATGACTGTGAAGGCGGAGTCGTGCGCATAGCTCGGTCTGTGCACCGTCACACTCACGTCCCTAGCGCTCGGCAGGGCTGCTCCGTCCACTCCTTGGCGAGGGGAGCTTACACCTGGAATAAAAAGATCCAATTATTATAATCTACCTTATTGTTTTTACTCTAGCTCTACAATTTTCAGTGATTCCATTCCTAAGAGTTACTAGTTAGTTAGTTAGACTTAGAAGTTATGTGGTTTCCTAGTGGAAACGTGCTTAAGCCCAAAGAAAAGAACTTATAGGAGATGAATAGAAGTTAAAAATATAGCAGTACGGAAAATTTCAACTGTATGATTTTGCAATGACGTCGATAACTTATATTATGGAATGTGCTGGTATCTTTTCACCCATGGTACCTATATTTCTCTATACGTCCTTCATCAGTTTTACTCAGATTGCTACTTACCATCACCATAGTCTGCAGGTAGCACTCGTCGGAAGGGAGTCTTAGAGACTCCCCAACGCAATGGATTCTCTAGGTTGTTGCACGTGCCATCTGTGGTTCTGTACCTGGATAGAGTACAGGGTATGGGCGTGGTGCTGCAGTAGGGCGGCTCTGGGAATGATCCGTTTAGAGGAGGACCTTCTCCCGCTCCACCAGGGCGCAGGGAAATGTCTGTGCTGGAATTAAGAAAATAAAGAAAGTTACATGTAAGCTGCGGTTGTGTAAACATCATGTGATGGTAATTTCATTAAAACTTTGTGATTATTGTGTATTTTGTATCGTGTGTATGTATGGTGTTTGTGTAAAAAATATAGCAAACAATTTGTTTACGATTGAAATTACTATCGACATCAATAGGCGCTTTGTAAGCAACCGAATGTAAGCCTGGGATTGGTGGGATAAAGTTAGTTGATAGAATTTTACGAAAGAATGAAATACTTCATGAGTTATAATTTTTATTTCGTACTTATTTAATAGATTATAATGAGGATTAAATTGATGATTAGGTTGACGAGGAATATTGTAAATGAAGTATAAATAACATAGCTTCTAGTTTGTTTACGACAACAACATGTTCAACAATATCATTAGGCGCTCGCGCTACGCATTCGTAATCAGAGGTAAGAGGTAAATAAGGTTAAAATGAGGTATATTCTTTTCTCGATTTCATATCAATAACGTATCCTCTACAATTATATTTATTTTTATATACTAGAATTACTATAAATAACTTTAAAGATGTAAGTAATTAGTAATTGACAACAGAACTGTTAATTTGAAACTCATTGATGACAAAAACGGCGTAGCAATACGTTTTTTTACAATTGACATGGGGTGTTCGGTCATCAGGCGCTCGAATGTAATGGTTTTTGGGTCCCGATAGACGGGAGGGCCTTTTCTATTCTACTCTAGTAATATTACTTATTTTAAATTAGTTTCTAAGCTAAGTATGGTCCAACAGAAAGTATAGAAAGTGATATTGCTTATGCAATATGAAAACCAAATGGAAATTGATATCTTCCGCGTCGTAAATGAAATGATGTGTGAATAGTGTCACACACTACTTAAGTTGACAGACATCCATGTTGCTTTATTGATTACTCTGTTGTAGGAAACTTTATGAATAACTTGCAGAATTATTTTGGCGTCAAAATTGAACCTAACTTCATGTAAGATGAATACAACTAGACCCCTAGTTGTACCTCATTGTATTTTAATAGGGACTTACCTGATTTTCTTCTAAACATGTTGAAACAATTATACAAGTTATGACATGTATTGTTTCCACATTTTTTACCTTAATTTTACCTGCCCTAGCTCTATTGACGGTTTTTGATAATTATCTTCCTGGCCTAGTTGCAAAAGTAAGATGTGAGGAGTCGGCACAATTTCTTCTCTTACCATTCTCTCCAATCAGACGTCATGACGTCATCACATCACATACCTACTCCTTTCTCTATCATATCACTCCTCACGCAATCTGCCCATCTTTTCTGTGTTCATCCTCATCTTTCTTACCATTAGGTACCCATCCAGATTTGACCAATGCACTCGCTTTACCATGGTTCATATTATCATTAAGCTAAAATATTTGAATGTAATGAATAACGGCAATTTATGCGCAACACATACTATAGTAGATCGATATATTTTGGCGGAGTTCGGTAACCTGTGACCACTGAGGCGGTGTGAAGCCAAACCAACGCAGGGATAGTATTACGCGGTTTTATAACACAGATAATATATCGAATTACCTACAACGGTATACAAGCGTCCTAATTCCTGCAGACATACGATATTTTGTCTACACTTTATATCAATACTTGTTGTTCCACACGGTTTCACCTGTGTGCTGTTTTCCTAATTATTTCGTGGGATAAATAAATATCGTCGTTAAAATTCATCGTCGTCATGGTCAGCTTGATTCCATTCCCTCCTGGTAACAATCACCATCACCATTTAACCTGGTCAGCCCATTGTCGTTAACTGCTGGATAAAGACCTCTTCAATAATACGGCACTGAGCTCGTTCTTCAGCTGTTTGTATCCAAGCAACTTCAAACAAAGAAATTCTATTTAGTTTTATTAATCCCATATATTTATGCAGATACCGAAGTGATTTTGGTTCCGACGTATCGTGACGCATTTTAGTCAATTATTTTATTTTTAATATTTTTTTAACGCGTCATTGAATTATTTGATGCTATAATTAGACAAATTATTTGCGTAGGTTTTGTCCTTCTGGGACATAAGATTAGCAAGGTAAATTAGTACTTAATAATAGACTCAGACTCAAGAAATTAAATATATTTATAAGTTAACTATTCATTGGTCTCTTATTAGATTTGTACGGTATCCACTATCTTCTATTTAATACTTTTAATCTATCGACTTAAGTCATGCTTTTGTGTGATCAGCACTTTAGAGAAGACCTTATCAGACTTTCTTACGAAACTTGATAGTGGTTTTAAGAATGAAGGTTTCGTTGAACTCGACATATCTCTTTTATAGTTAGGTACTGTAAATTGTCTAATTTTCTATAGAAGCGTACGTGTTGTACTTAATTTTCGAAAAGGTATTTTATTTATTTGTGTTACTGAGAATTATTTTCTATAATTAAGAGAACATGGCAAAATTTTACAAAGCCAATCTTTTACGCAAGATCTTCTCCCAAGTCTTCTTCTAAGTTTGAGACTACATCACGATTTGTCTTGATGCACAATGATAACTCAATTGCATTAAATTTAGATCTGGAGTACATGCAGTAGATAGATGCAGCGGCAGTGGGGAGCCAATTGACCGTATCTAGGTGACCGGATGATACCGGCCATCAATTGAACTAACCACTCAATGTATTGGAATAGATGGATTTATGGATCATGTTTGTTTATTTTGAAGATGAGAGATGATGTAAAAACAAATTTATAATTCTTTAAAACTAGTAATGAATCAATGGGGTATGATTCCTTGAAACGTAAGATCAAGTTGTCAAAGCTTCTAGGTAATTAAAACTACAAATTCTTCTAATAACACTTAATCAAAGTAAAGCAAAAAGCGTGCAAAGATCAAATTTGTGAGAAGGTGTACCAGCCATAATTCACATTTAAATGATTTCCTACTGTGTTATAAGACGATATGGTAGATGGTAAATAGATCCGACTGTAGATAAGATAACAGAATATTGAATATCAGAAATAAGATCAGTTTTTTGATACCAGTATCGTTTTACATGTAAACATAATTAGCACAACATTATGTTAATTATGTCTTATTAGACGCACAAATTATATTGTTTAGAATAATTGTGTCTAACCGCAGGAGTTGGCTAAGAACACTCGATAGTAGGTACTAATCTACTTTAGTAATTAATTAAATATTTTTAAAGGTTGCCTCGTAATTTATAAGGTAAATATTTTGATGGGTGATTATTATTAGGATAGTATTAAATTTAGGAATATGATTATCTGCTCCGGTTGAAAAAACAATGCTAGCTTAAGTGCACGTGATTGGAAACTTTCCGTAACGTTAATTTATGCGAACTTGGCATTTAATTTATTACATTTGTCTTTTGATATTCTTCGACAGCTATTGTTCAATTCTATGGTGGTAGGTTAAGGCATGAAGGTAGATGGTCTGTGAAAATGGAGTTCACACTTTAAGAAATAAAAACTTCATAACGTTTCAGACGTTGTCGTGTTTGGCATCGTCATACCGTTCACGTTCATAAAATGAAAAAGTAGCCACAATACAACATTTTTTATAACATTTATTAAGTACAAAATTACATAAAAAACATTAATAAAACTGTAAATCATTATCAAAAAGTTAACAAGCATACATAGAAATAATATAGGTGATCTGTGAAGTGTCAGAATTTCCTGCCTCTGTCTGAGTAGTTCAGGCTCCAGTTTTGATGGAGTTTTGGGCGGAACATTGTACTTTACTTACCCATTCATAAGAGCTTTAGTGGCTATTTCTGCAGCATAAGCAGAGTCAGCTAATGGCTTGACATCAGCTGAAGTGGCTGCCGCTCTTTGAGCTCTATTAGCTGGTGTGTCCATGTCCAGAGGCCGACGCAGCCATTCCGCCTTCGTCTTCTCCTTCAAAGCTGCCTTTCCTTCTAAAAGAGCTGATGCTATTTGAGCCTTGCTTGGAGTAGTGCTTGCCCATGCTGCTGGTGGTTGTCCTGAGGGGAAAATAAGTGTTAATGTAAAGTAAATCTTATTTGTAAATGCAAAAGGTTTGTAGACAGTATAATTCCATGCAGCTTGCTACTACTCAGGTAATATTATTGAATCCTATAACTTTTGTTCCCGTTTATCTAAATACATTTTATAATTAACATAATTATGAATAAATACTAAAATATTAAATATACACAAATATAGCCTAAAATTAAGTAAAACAGCCAATAAAAATAAGTAATCTCGTAATTTGCCTTTTAAAGTTTATGAGATCAGGCTATTTGCTTGTCTGGCTAGATTACAATCTTACTCGTGGAGTTTAAGTATATAATTATTTTAAAATATTAGACAATATAGATACACTCTAGATAACATAAATCGATATGTACATCAACGGCTCCCAGATAGAATATCAAATGATATAATTATTGCTGTAAGATACATATATATGTTCACAAATATGTGATTACAAATGCAAGAATATCTTGTAAGATGGTACAGTCATCAGATAACAGAGGCAGAATCTCCGCTGCAGATCTTAATGACAATATTTACAAATTATAGAATAAATGTTATGTAATTAATCGCGGTGAAATAAGAGCAGTTTTAAGATTATCTTTCTGATATGTTCTCTAAATTATAATAATAAATACAAAGCTGAATAAATTAATCTTCTCTAAAATTTAGCATATTATGGCCATGATCTTGAGCGGCCTTACGTCAACTGTATCAGAATCTCACATTTGTTGTCTATTTACTATTCCGAACTGGTTTACAAACAAAACAGTTGTTTATTTATAAATATTTACATACAGGCCCGTTATCTGTAACAAATTACAAGAGCCTAATCCCAAATCTATAAGCATTTCCACCGAAGTACTCGTAATATTGATGGGTCGTTTAAAATCAAAATGGCACGGAATTGATTGCATATTTGACATTAATGACTGCAACCTAATGTTGAACCAATAGTCGGATATCGAGTATACGTAGAATGAAACTAAATTGTGTGTTCGTATCTACTAAGATTCAATTACTCTCCAGTTGGAAAAATAATATAAGTTTAAGCTTTTGACATCCTTACGTGTAGGTAAGATTTTCATTAGATTGTAGTGGTTTTAAATACTTAATGAACAAATTAACAAATGCACTAGTCACCCCTATAATTTTTAAAAGTTTCTCTAGTTTTCCCTGGGATTGATGCCAATGGAACCAAAAGACGACACTGTCAAATAAAAAAAGTTGAAATCGGTACAACTTTGATTTACGTTTATTTATGACCTAATAATTATTTCTCGCTTGCGGCCCGGATCCCATGATTGAAACGTTTTTTTGGCTTTAGTGAAAATAAGGTTGAGTATGGTCTATCTAGTTGAGACTCGCCGACTCAGCCTTATACCAAAACCATAAAAGTCAAAATATTCATGCGAAATGCGAGGCGTGATTCGAACCTCGTATGATATTTTTATACCTATTATTAGCAAAGGTCCACGTGTAACGTCCATCGTAATTAAATTATTATTCCTTACATATGAGAACATTTTTATATGGCTATGAATTCAAACTAAACTGGTTTCTCTAACCAATGCGACTTTGTGGATCGTTATAATGCAGACATTGCGTAATATTCCATTGCAGGATGATAGGCCTCCTTTGCAGAAGAGGGGGTTTTTCATAATGTTTACGCTTCGGTTGAAGATTGCAGTTTAAAATGTTAAAATTTTATTACAGAGCGCTGCTGTTCGGTACTTTTTTACTCCTAGGACGACGATGACATGAACGTGATAAAAATGCTAGGTAGATACTGTGTGTAATCGCACGGCGTACTTGGTGGATTAATGATTAGAAATAAATTTAGAAATTGATGACAGTTTAGAAAAGAGATTAAGTTTTGCGTTGGCCCACATGGTGTTAACACATTTTAAAATGTGGTTTATTGAAATCCGGTTGTATGGTATGTAGTGACACTAGTCTCTTGTCATAACTTGTTTTCTTAAGGCCGAAATTAATTAGGTACTGATCTTAATCCAATTGGATCAATCTAGGAATTTAACACGAACTCAATAGAAGTATCTAATAATTAAATTAACGTTCATCGCATGGTGGAAGGAATAACTCACTGTAATGATTCATGTCTTATGTCACAGAATAACCACTTATGTGTTGTCATATGAGTGACAAATGGTTTGTGCGACGCCCTAGGAGCCCATGAGACCTTATTGGGTCCAATAAATCTTACAGTCGTTATAAACAACTGATTTAAGGCCCACGGCATATTTTTGTACGCGCAAGCAACGCGGAGATGATACGCGTATACGCGCTTTATACGAGATTTGAACGCAACGTTGTAACCTAAGCACACGTATCGATCGTGAAACGCGCGTTTCTGTGCGTATACGCGCTTCATGCTCGTATCATTTCATAAATGCAAACGCAAAAATCATCGTTTACGTCGCCGAAGACGCGCGTTGCCTGCGCATATAAAAACTCGGTGTACTATGAGCCTAACAATAAACTTAAATATACTGATTTCAAATCCACGTCAATCAAACTAGGGAGGAAGGAATTTGAAAATGTTAATCTGCCTAGTAGAAGGTGTGAAACATTTATATCATGTTTTACGTCAATATATGCTTGAAGATAAATGCACTATAAAATATATATATAAGTTAGACTAAGCTAACTTTAAGGAAGCAAATATTTTGACTTCATGGTCAATGCATCCAAATTATATTTGTACTAAGCTATACCTACTTAACTATATGGTCTTGTGTTGTTTCCGTACTATATATCTAAGGTTCTGTATATGTATATTTATTAGTGCTTCGCTTTTATTTACTTTTGTATCAGAGCAAAGCAGTCATTTCATCTAAAATGCTGCTACTGGTAATCTATACAGATCAAATGTGTTTTTTTTTTAAAAACGTTGCCCCACTCTAGGATTTTCTCCTGTGTCGTGGGTGCGTTTACAAACATACAAGTTCACATACACAATGACACCCAGGCCCGAAACAACAATTTGTGGATTATTAAAAGAATGAGTACCTAATTTGTAAAAATCTTTTCTATGCTTTGCTGCTAAGATTTTTTTTAGGAGATTTGTGACAATTCTTTTCGTCAGACCTATAGTACTTATATACCTATGTACCTAGGTACCTGTTTCTTATCTTACATTGATGTTCTAGGTACCATTAATATCCTGATGAGTTTCACCTTCGGAATAATGTTAATTCCATTCATCTTATTGTTATTTCATTCATCGATTTAGTATTTCAGTGTATACAAGCGCCATTAGCGCCGAATAAATATGACCCTACATTCCTGCACAGTATTAAAATATAAATATACAAATTATTATAATTATTTACAAAAAAACAAGAAAAATTGATAAACTAGCCAGAAAACAGACATTGAAATGCGATGACAAAGTTTTAACATTAACATACATAAGAATATTTATTATTTTTACATTTATTTATATCTATTTCATTGACATTATCTTCGATTATATTATTATTACGTCAGCATCGCTTTAGGTGGCGTCAAACACGTCAAATTACAATATAGTGCGGAAATGAACTGTTTAATAGGAATAGCTGAATATATGATTTGTTTCGGAACATTTTGAACAAAGTTGATTGCAGTTTCAAATGTTTCTTTGTTGATGAGTGGACATTTATTTATTTTTACACTTTATTGTACACCATAAAAACATACAAAGAAAAATAAACATAAAAGAATGTGTACAATGCGCGGTCTTATCGCAGAATGCGATTTCTTACAGACAACCTTTGGATGGAGCCAGTAATCAGGAGTTGGAAAAAAGGGGTCGTCGGACATATTAGCTTTAATAAATTTTATTATAGCTAAATACGAGTCAAAAACAATGTTCTAAATTCTAATGTATTATATTAGGTACACGGTTAATGCGGTGATAGAGCAACCGGCTGGTGAATAACGTGACGCGGGTTCGATTCCTGAACGGAACAACACTTTGCGTAATTCACAAATTGTTGTTTAGGGTCAGGGTGTCATATGTATGTTTGTAGATGCGACACAGGTGTGGTGTAGTGTGGTGTGGGGTGACGTTATAATAAAAAAAAAATAGTCAGGTAATATCATGTTTGCTGAGAAGACATTCGAAATACTGTACAAAATGTAAATCAACATAAATAAATATCTATTTGTTTCTTTTATTAAGAATATCTTGTTAGAAATTCATTAACTACCAAAACAAATATAAACAGTCAAATAGCTAACCGTGGATTTTATGTATACTGGCAAGCAGTACCTAAGCAGTCCAATCTGTCAAAATTCATTGGATTCTCGACTTTATATCAATCAAATAAAGTTGGTGTAATAGAAAAATTTGTAAGACCTGAAAGGATAGGTTGACCTGCTGGTCTGGTATATAACGTTCTTATTTTTAGATAATCTAATGTTTGTGTAGATGCCACTTTCAATTTAAACTTTAAAATTACTTACACAGGTTTCTGATTAGAATGTTATTTAGTGTTTGCATTAACAAACTGTCTTTGAGAATTTTATGGTTAATTGTGAAAGGAATTAACTCTTGTATTTTTAATGGGGTATTTACCTACTGCATTATTGTTCTAGAACATAGCTTATTATTATGAACATAGCTCATATCCGATATCATATGAGTCTGCAGTGTGTGAACGGAACGCTGCGCAGCCCAAAGCGCAGACAACATTTTAATTTTTATGATTTTTAATTGTTTTTTTTTTCGTGTTATTCATGCAACATCAGCCTTGAACAGTTGATTATAACTATTATTATTACATAAAAAACATTTAATTATTCTCTTTTTAAAAAATGAATATTGTTTTTTACCAATCAATTTGTCTTCGATTTTTGAAAGCGTTCCGTGAACCCTGTATTGGATCTTTTAAATGTGTACTATTTTTTAGTAAAAATAATAAAGCTGAAATTAGGAAAGTACCTAATACAAGTTTAAATTATAATTATAATAAACATACCTTTTAAAGGCCACTTCAAATCTAGTAGAGGCTGTAAGGCAGGTGGCATTGCCATCAGTGTGCCGTTGACAAGAGTGAGGTTACCAGGATTACCAGATGATGCCATTCCTGGAGACATTTTCAGCAGCGTCAGGTTGCCCCCAGGTATAGGAAGTGCAGGTTCACTAGGTTCCGTGGTGATATCATCATCCATATCCTGGCTCAAATTGTATGAAATGGTCACCAGTAGAGCCACCATTAATATTGCGCTAAAGAAAATAAAAATATTAACACTGAATAAATCATACGTAGTGAACTTAATACAGGTATCCCTACCTAAGATAATTAATAGGTAATTAGGTTTATATAATTAGCAATAGATTAGTTAAAGGCAATATAGTATTTTAATAATAATTCACGACTTATTTATTTATTTTGGTTAACTAACAATCGGGTAGTTTCCAGGGTAACAAAATTAAAAATCTTAGTCCGTCAATTAATAGTCAATCAATTAATAAAAAAATATAAGATTCGTATTATTTTATTTTCTCGTATTTAATTGCAATATTTAGATGAAATGGCGCTAAGTTTAGAAGTGGGAGGTCGTTACGTCATGACGTGCTACAAAATGTGACACGCTGTGACATCACACGATATTTCAGATTAATATATCGTAGACAGTATTAAATTTAGTGAGAAAAGAATAAATCCGTGTCCAAAGTTTTAAATTAATGTACCAGGCGGACATTAACTCGTCAAGTACCGTCAATATAGACACAATTTATAGAACAATAGGTTGCGGTCACTGGTGACCGCTTGGTGTTTGACAGTTTAAAGTAAAATTTAGGAAACTACCCTATTGTTTACACTACCTATATACATTACAAGACTTAAAAGGTAAGAGAAACATTAAAAAGTGCAACAATTAATTACAGGCTAACACATAATGTCATTATCATCATCAAAAAACTTAATAAAACAGTCTGTAGGTATAAAAATTCTACTAAGTAGGTATGTCAAAAACAGGTAAAAAATTTCAAGGCCATAGTTTTTGAATAACAAGCCCTCGATCTGACGACCGATAGATCTAAAGTACGCCATTACCGATATAATTATTCAGATAGAACTTATTTCAATAATTTTAAGCCAAGATTTTAATTTTTAGAACCTGTTTTTGAGAACATACCTTAAATAAATGAGGAACTATAAAAAATAAGAATAAACCTTTTTACATACATAACGTACTGCTACTTAGTTATTTTTAAATTTTCAATTTAGCATAATATTTCGATTTCTTATTAAGTACTTATACTAGCTTTTACCCGCGGCTTCGCTCGCGTCACAAAAAGATGAAATGCCAATTTGACATATACCAATAGACACAGCGCCATCTATACCAATACTTTTGTTTTCCCTCGGTAATATCAAATTTTTCCGGAATAAAAAGTACCCTATTATTTAATCCGAACTTCTAACTATACATCTGGAAAAATTCAAAGCAATCGGTTTAGTAGTTATGGCGTGACAGCAGAACAAACAAACAAACAAACAAACTCACTTAACGGTTTATAATATTAGTAAGGAAGTAAGGATAAGGATTTTCTTAGTAACTTATGGACATAAGTAAATGTTTATCAGATATTTAAATTGATTAGAGGCGTCATGCGGCACTTTAAGTGTTGGCGTAATATTTCGTCATTCCTCCCCAAAGAGGTAATTATATAGCAAAAATATAAATAGTAAGCAAGGATTGTGAAGTTCATTTACATTCGATACAATCATAATTTATTTTAATTTAAACTGAATACATGCAGACAGTGCTCTTATTGAAGAAAGTCAAATCAGAGAGAATAAAATTAAATCTGCTCTGCGGTGGCGCCTAAGTAGGTACATGGTGATGTACCTACTTAGGTGGCTTCTAGCAAAACGCAGTTACGCCCAATGTTTGAGAAGATATTAAACATTAATAGCTAACTGTTACTTAGATATCACGTCGTTAAGTGTTACCTATCAGAGGTTCCTTAAAGTATAAGAGGGTTTTTTAAAAACAGTTCCTAACGTCATAACATACATCATAATCAGGAGATGTAGCAATACTTACATGATAAAAACACACATCACACATTGCATGTGATGCAGCCTCTTCTGGTAGCGGCGTGCGAGGCTGGACTCGAAGACATACGTCGGCTGCACCAGCGGGGTGCGCTCGCTGCTCGAAGACGCCTGCATCATAACCTGCGAACAACATCCACGGTCAGAAGAAAGATATATTATGTAAAATTCTTTCGTTTTTGGTTACTGCTGTAATTGAGTGTACCCACATCAGAATACCGCAAAAATATACAATATACATGCATTTTAATGCGCGTAGAGCCAGATATTCGCAATACAAGACAGATAGGTACTGAAAATTTGAAAATGAAGTCCTTTTAGAGCTTTCTGATGTCAGAATCGAACCGCGTGAGACCTCCACTGTTGAATTATAAAAGATATTATAAAATCAAATATCTATATAGACTTAAGTCAGCCCATTTACATGGATACATAAAAATAGCTAGAAGTAAATTGGTGTTTAACGAATTCCCATTCATATAATCTCTATTATAAGTTATACCTACGTAAGCTCCGAGATTCGACTTCATTAATTATTAATTTCGTTATCAGTTCAGAATTATATTAATATTTAAGGAAACATTTATATTAAATAGATTATTATCGACTAGATTAATCAGACGTTTAAAGAGTTATGTGATGCCACGTCGAGAGTGATTTTGAGTCTCACTTAAAATGAATGACAAAGCTCATACATATATAGCATCACGCCTATTATCCCCGAAGGGATAGACAGAGGTGCATATTACGGCACTTAATGCCACTGTACAATGTAACACCCACTTTTACACCACGTATGTTATGAGTCCCATGTAATAGGGGTTGAGCCTATTCCCATATATCGGGCACAGTTCCAGCCTCTGTGCTAATACTGAGATTTTTTTTAAAACCCAGTAAGTAATACTTTGCCCGACCTAGGAATCGGATCCGAGACCCCTTGCCCGGCAGTCGCACTTGCAACCACTCGGCCAACGAGGCAGTTTAGAATATATAACATTTTATATTAGTAGTACCTAAGAATCAAACACAGAGCACATTCAAAACTTCTTGGTATCTAAGAGTAAATAAAATGCTATCTCCCCGCACAGCATGCATATAAAATACGGAGATAAGAGATAAAGATGTGTAATGATTCATTACTCATTTAAAACTTTGCGCTTTACTGTCATTACTGGTTTAACCTCAGATTTGGACAACGTTTCTTTGACATGATTTTATCTGAATTCAACTCGTCCGTGATTTTTTTGCAGCCGCTCGGTATGACTTAAATTTTATATTACCTAAGTTTAACATCGGGAGATACGATTGGATCGATGTTATAATAAGCTTTAATGGATTATGTTTTATTTCGTTCCAAAAAGCGGACTGGAATTAAAATAAGTTACAGTAACACAATATTAAGCATTGCTAATAAAAAAATATACATTAAATCATGTTTTACTTACCTTAGTTGAATTGTTCGTTTTTAAAGCTTATCGTAAGTATTATTTGTACCTAGGTATTACCTAAATTGCATAGATTAACACTTTAAATACTAGATAGTTCACTACTTGGGTATCTTCAGTACCTAATATTGTTAAATAACTTTAACACGCCAACGCTATGGTGGAACTGTGATGGCAACCACAACAAAACTGATGCACTATGCAAATAAATTGCCTAGAGGTCAGTTACTGGTGATTAGGTTTAATGTTGAAATTCTTGCTTAACTTTCTCATTACCTTATGGATATGTAAATTACTAGACCAATCAATAAGTTATTTGTTTATAGTTCCATACAGGCAATAAACTTTGATAAGTTCGAATCGCCAACCCGCTTTGAGTAGGCGTGATGATTAATTGTCATTCCTTCTCCATGTGAGACGATGCATTTGCTCTGCAGTGGCCAGTAATTGTATTATTGCTGGTGATGTGATGCCACGTGAAACATGTTTAGTGTATTGAAAAAAAACGTGGAAAATAAGCCTATAAAGCTTCATAATTATTATATTATTTGGTCACTGTATTCGATATGCCTAATGACAGATCGAAAAAGTTAAATATCTTGATTGCAGCAATTAAATATCCATAATTTGAATTAAACCGGTCCCTATATTACACCATATTATAATTCTATAGGGCACCTAATTGGTTTTGCATAGATGATATCTTCAATGTACATTTATGTACCTGATGATAGATGAAGTTTAGAGCTTATAAAAATAGCGCATCATAGATTTGTTTTTAACAAAGACCATTCTGGAACTATTCGTTAATATTTTGATAATTCGTAAATCTACTATCTTTCGATTATTTTATAAAAATGTTAAACTTGTTTTGAAGAAATCCCTTAAAGTTGTAGGTGTGTCAAGTGGATATATATTGAATAAGACTGGGTAGAATATGTAGGGTCCTGTCCTTTATTGTCGACGGCTCATCTGTAGACAAATGGATTGCGGATGTACCCATCAAATAGCCATTGACTACGTGCGTGAAGATGGACAACTTAGAGGTCAAACAAATTATAGAGTTGCGTAGACATCTTAAAATTTAAAAGATTTAATGTGATCCAATACTTTTTTCTGGCATTAGACTGTTAACGAGCTGTGTAGATTTTTTGGTATGGTACCTAATTTAATGAAGAACCATATGTCTATCATAAAATGGAACAAGGAAATTGTCAATGATATGTTTATATGGAGTCTGGAGTAAAGAGTATAGTAATTCTAAGGGCTGGAGTGCTGGAGAATCTTCGTGAAGATGAAGGAGAATATCTTATTGACCATGATGCCCTCGTGGTGATAGTGCAGAATACAGTTTTGTAGAAAATTCAAGTAGGTAATCGAATTACATTTTTAGATTTTGACACCACGCAGCTACTTATATACATAAAGTTTTTCGACGATTTGCATGCAAGGGTTCCGTCAGACGCGGAACCAGTTTCATATAACTCGTTAACGTCTATAAAAGTTTTTGTCAATCCGAATCAAGTTACAAAAAATGTTTCGAAATGTAGTACCTACCTATTATTATTTAATCGTTATAATTATTCCAATTTTGTTTGTTTCCAATACTTTGTTTTTTTTCTTTGAATTCATAACTACACGGACGTTCAATTTACAATGCATATTCTCATTTAATCCTTTGTTAATAACTGTATAAGAACCATACATAGGAACTTAAATGTTCACGATTACGATTACAGGTTATCATCTTAAAAATCTAAAAAAGTTCACGATTCGCCAGGCAAAACTATCGCTATTTCGCAGTAGGTATAAACTAGGAAGCAGTAATAATAAGAATAAGCAAATTAGTACTCAAACTATGACCTAATACTTGGACCAAGATTGCATAACTTGTATAACCACGTGTCTATTTAATTTTAATACCTATAAAAGAAAATCGGTGCATCACCTGCACCGGGGGAAATGACATGCGGTAACCTTTTTATATTAGTAGATAAGTATACTTATGAATTATGTAATATTGTCATTAGTTACCTAGCATCTTTACCTAGACACTTTTGTATGACGGAGGAACCTTTCACAAGGTTCTTAGCTTTTGTGGAGAAGGCCTAGGGAGGGGTGGGATTATCCCTGCGCCTTTTAACTATCGAAAGGGCATAGGTGAACATTAAATCTGGAGTTCTTTTCATCAGATATTATGTTATGAGTCCATGAGGAATCTTAAGGAATAAACAAATAACACATTGGTACACTATACTGGTTAGAACCTTATTAGACTTGAAGTCATGTGCTTTCACAGTATAGGGTGTAAAAAGACCGGGCTAATCAAGTGAGTTTCAAAGGCTTCAGTGATATAGGGGCTCACATCTGTAGAAATAGGTACTTTAATTGGATTAGTTCTCTTATGAAAGTCATTTTTAAAATGGGTCCTTTAAGAGGGAATTGGTGAGTTATTAGAGAGTATATAGATACAATTATCTTTCACTCTCGTAAGGTTAACGGTAACAATGTTATTGTTAAATAAATTACCAAACCTGATTGGTCTCTAACTATCGTTAATCGTGCCGAAAATGATATTTTGTGATTCAACTCAAGTGAAAATTAATGGCTATAGGTACTTATGTAATTAGGTATTAGTTAATAAGAAAATATATTTAACTTTATTATTGTTTTTTAAATTATTACATAACACAGGCACGCGCTCTATCATTGAAATATTCTTCTCATAACAATAAAAAAGAGAAATGGTAGTAAATAACTCTTAAGTTCTTTACTATTGTATCTAATTTCAAAACAGCATTAGGACGCCGTTGGAAAAATACGCAAAATAACTGGTTCTTAGGCCATAGATTTTCTTTTATCGACCTATTTGCCTGAAATCATCTACCAATATCTATTTAAAATGCTAATATCTTTTTTATTATGATTCTATAATTCCAAATTACTATTAAGAATGGACTAGTCTAGAAATATGCATAGTTAAGTAGGCGTTTATTTATTGATGAACTTTTCCCGTAAAAATCAAACTTTGGTAAATGTGTTGCCAATAGTTTAATAACGGAAAACTTCCATAATATTATTATTTGTGCAGAAAAGTAGGTAACACAGTGCAAGAAAAATAGATAATAAAGGCTTAATAACAAAAGCATAATTATACATAAAAATAAACTTACTTTTTTAACTTCTCCGTTTTCTTAAACAAAACCAATTTTGCGTCACAACTTCACTGCATTATATTTTTAACAATCCATTCATTCATTCACTTTTTAAAACAAAAAAAGAGCAGTTAAAATGGAATAGACTATATTTATTTACTTTTTAAATAACCGCGTGCACCGGCAGTCAACGCGCAGCCAACAGCATTGCCTATCACTAAGTAATGAAGAGCCTTTACAAAACCCAGCTGATGTTAATTAAAGCTATCGACGTGGTCTACATCATTGTACTACAGCTTTTCAATTTGGTCGGATTATAGAGCCCTACCATTTTTGAACCAGTTTTTATGACATGTTTTATAATATTACGAAATAGTAGGAAGACCTTTACTGTTGAACCTTTAGTTTGTGTTTAGATGTTTACAATATTTAAAAATACAGAAAGTTACTTACATTTGTTTGGTTTGCGTCTCATTTTCACGCGAAAGTTTAAGACACAGAAGTATTTTTTCATCTTGATCACAGGCCACATTTTTTATTGCGGTGTTGATTTTACTTTGATAAAATATTTTAGGTAGGTACATTCCTAGGTCAGAGCTAGGTAGGTACTGAGTATGCTAAATGCTCGATGCATTCCGCCTAACGTTGGTATTTCAGTGTTTTATCATTTTCTAGGAGAATTGCTTAGTGATTAACCTTCGAGATCGCAGAAATATCATGTATGACGCAGGTTCTTCATGCACTTTTGTGCACTAGGTTCGCATCCATTTAATTAGAATCTAATATTTATGCAGAAACTGTTTCCCTATTTATTTTAATTCACCGACAAATTGTTGACACCCTAGTCAGTTTCTCAGTTTGAGTTAGAGATGCATTATACATTGTTGATATGCCGTACGTATATCTTGCCATTGTTAGGCACACAAAATAGGCAGGTAGGTACTATCTTCAATTAAAATAGCATTATTGCCTCATAAACTGAATGCAGCTAGTAAATGACCTCATTTTACGGAACTTGTTTAACTTTTTAATGTTGATGATTGATAATTTCTTAGAGCAATAGTTAGAACTGATTCTCGTATCGATAAAGTAGCACCCCGTGGTCCTCGTGGGTATGAGTGTAACTACCTCCCTGCTTTGATAGACATACGATAAACCGATTATGCATAATTCTAAACATCTAGCTCACAAAAATCTTAATTTGGTCTTAGTGTTAAGATTTCTGTTATCTAGCTTGTTATTACCTAATTAGTTATTGTGGTCTGTCTATCCTGCATTAGATACTAAGTAGGATGCATAAAGCTTATATGGACCACTTTTATGCAATGCAATAGGCATGAACCTGAAGACGCTCGTGAACTTTCATCGTTTTACTATGATGCATGGTACGCATAACTACCTATCATATAAGATTGTTTATAAGAAAGTAAATTGGCAACAGATATCTAATCAATCAAAACATAAGGTTCTGGTTCTTTCATCTGACCTACAGATTTACTAAAATGGGTTATGAAACAGCTAGCTGCCCACAGTTGCCGTATAATCTGCATACTTACCGGATGGAATGTTTTACAACATTTTACCTACTTCTCACTTCATCCAAAAGGGCATTGACTAAAATTGGTGCCTTTCTTTTTTCTGGCGGCAGTCGATGATTTATGGAAAATATTATCTAGAATGACATTACAAACGAAATTGTGTATGGGCTCATATATGGAAATCTCAGTCTGGACTGAGTTATGAGCGTCGAAAAGAGCTGAAATCAAACATTTTACTTTGGTTTTTTTATTCAAATTATTCATATTTTTGTCACAATTCCTAACTTCAAATTGCGCGCCACTGTACGCCGGGCACAGGAACACCATATTACACCACAATATATCCATATTGCTAGGCACTAATTTTTATTTGCTATTTTCTCTCAGTCGATAATTTGTGGGATGCTTCTAGGAGTTGTGTCATGAAGCTCCATGAGCGTCAGCAGAGGTACCAGTGGTGGGTTGAGTAGTGGTAGCCGTCCAAAAATCTAAAAGTTTTTTTTAGCCTTTGACTCCTGGTGGTAGACTCATCTACTTTATAGTTAGCATAATATTTTCAAGAAAGGAAACCGTCGACTTTGTAAACTGATGGACTATACGTCAGATGAGCGCATAATTTTTTCATATAATGTGATCAGTCGAAATATAATCCATCACTTGGTGACTGAATGACGATATCTTTGTACAGAATCTTATGCTAGATATAGATTATTAACTGTATTATAAGTATTAACTGTAGTTATATTAGTTACTAATCGGAAGTAAGTCGGGACAAGTAGACAGAAAAATGTTTTTTTCGTGTATCCGCTACCGACGCCTCAGTTGACGAACATAGCATTTTATGATAAGGCTCAGTAAAGTATTTTGCGGGTTTTCGACTGAGAGGAAATTGATCATGAAAATCTGTCATAGGCCTTAAACCGTATACATATAAAGTGAATACGCTAGCCAATCAAGCGAAATGTTTTTTTTTATTTCAGCAGTGGCCAGTTAATGGTTCACTTTGTTCTGATTCCTTGGCATTATAACAAAAAAAAAATAAAATAAAAAAAAATATAAGCCCACAACAAGCTTTACTATATTCCTTGAAATCGTTTATAAACATTAATTACAAAATATTTCTGACAAGTAAATGAAGAAATATGTGTTGTGTACGGTCACCATCAACAAAATAACAGGAATAATATACCACTATTTTCACATCTTTGAACTGACTTAACTCGGTTCGGACTGTGTTTTTGATATAAGACCCCATACATTTTTTTGTTTGTAATGTTATTCTGCATCAGTTTATCCACATTTGATCAACTGCCGCAAAAAAATTAAAAGGCACCACGCTCCATACAAATTTGGTCATTGTCATTTATTGGACATTGACCCTATGAAGGTTGTTGATTAAAATGTGGGCAATAACCTGTTTGTTTACATAGAACTTAACTAAAAATATTTATTTAGGAACATTTATAGATAACAAGCTTTGTTTGATTTCAAGTTATGATGCTAGCTAGCTTAGTTTAATATAGGTGATGATTGGTGTTCTGTGGTCTCTTCGACTAGATCTTTGTAGTTCTTGGCGTCTGAACGTTGAGTGAATAATTATCTCATGTTTTGTTTGTTAATTTATTTTTTTTGGTAATAGGTAGGCGTTTGGCTGCTAAGTGGCCTGATGGTAAACGACGATACGGTCTATAATGAAAATTGAGCAAGCCTACCCATAAGCAACCTATTTACTCGAGACATGAAGATACCCAGGTTGCGTGCATCAATAACCTAAAACATAATTATTAAGAATTTTCTTTTTATAATTACTATTAAAATTTTAAAACGTATATCAGTTCTATGCAGGACTTACAGCGTATAATGAAACGTGGTGATATCGTGGCAAGAAATGTCACTTTGACATTGACAATTGAAAGTAAGAGTGAAACGGCTTGACGATAGTAGTCACTGAATTTGCCAATTTTGGGAAAAATTAAGTGAAAATGTCTACCGTGGAAGAGTTACAGAAGAGAGTCAAGGAGCTAGAAGACCAACTAGCCTCTGTCCAGGGCAATGCGAGCCCAGCACGCCAGAAAATTGATGTCATGTCGTCCGAAGTTGTGGATTCTAATCCATACAGGTAATTCACATTTTCCCTTCGACAGGTGTACTACATTCATAATTTTTCAAATTGATAGTTTTAAATACTGAACTTACTAAATAAATTGTTGAACGTTTTAATCCAACTTTGTGAAAAACATGGAGAAAATGTCGGCAATATGTTGCCATCTGAATGAAGTTAGCTGTGTCTAAATATCATAGAAATTGAATATCAACGGCAATTAGTTTGTTCGAAATAATGTACTAGACACAATTCTTTCCAACTTAATAAATTCAAACCAATTTTAGAAGTAGATTTAATGTTAATATCTGTTGTTATCTTTGTCTATAGTCGTCTGATGGCTCTGAAGCGAATGGGCATTGTTAACAACTATGAGAAGATCCGTGAAATGTCAGTTGCTGTGGTGGGTGTTGGAGGTGTTGGTAGTGTTACTGCTGAGATGCTAACCAGGTGTGGGATCGGAAAGGTAAGATAAACTATATATTTCAATAATATATCTTTGTGATTTTTCTTAGTGAATGTAAATGAACTTAAACTTACAAAATTACTTGTAAGTTACAAAATTTCATTTCCAATATTTCTTTCCAGTTGATCCTGTTTGATTACGACAAAGTTGAGTTGGCGAACATGAACCGACTGTTCTTCCAGCCGCACCAGGCGGGCCTCAGCAAGGTGGATGCAGCGGCCTCTACTCTGCAGAATATCAACCCTGATGTAGCTATTGATGCCTACAATTATAATATCACTACAGTTGAGAACTTCCAGAAGTTCTGTGATACTATCAAGTAAGCTTTAACCAAGAATATAATCATGAATCAAAACGAAACTGGCCGGTTAATTGGATTTGGAATTTAAATATTATCTATACTAATATTATAAAGCTAAAGAGTTGGTTTTTTGTTTCTTTATTTGAACGCGCTAATCTCCGAAACTACTGGTCCGATTTGAAAAAGTCTTTCTGTGTTGGATAGCCCATTTATCGAGGAAGGCTATAGGCTATAAGATGTCACGCTACGATTAATAGGCGCCCAGCAGAACGAGTGTAACCGCGCGGAAGTAGCTAGCATTAAATAAAATTAACATTTCATGTCATAAATGAATGTAGAATCATTCATCATCTTCTTTTCTTACATCTAGACTGAAGTCTTTTAAAATGATTCCAGGACTGGCAGTTTGACCGGCGGTCCAGTAGACATAGTATTGAGTTGTGTAGACAACTTTGAAGCTCGCATGGCAATCAACACAGCCTGCAATGAACTCAACCAGAAGTGGTTTGAGTCTGGTGTCAGTGAGAACGCAGTGTCTGGTCACATACAGTTCATCGTGCCAGGCCAGACTGCTTGTTTTGCTGTAAGTTTAACATGCATACCTATGTAATAGTATAATTACATAATGTAGAAAGGCAATGCTAATAGCCAAACTCAAACATTAATTAGAAGTTCTACTTTATTCTTTTGCAATGATGTTAAAGATAGATCAAATATAATTTTGACTGCTGAAAGAAAACTTATTTGGGATATTTGACCATTTCAGTGTGCACCACCTTTAGTAGTTGCATCGAAAATCGATGAGAAGACATTGAAGAGGGAGGGAGTATGTGCGGCCAGTCTGCCAACTACCATGGGTATAGTTGCAGGATTCCTAGGTAACTAACTGATTAATTATTTGTTTACATGGGTTTAATGTTTATAGTAAGTTTTTTAACATTATTGTATTCTATTTCAGTTCAAAACACATTGAAATATTTGCTGGAGTTTGGCACAGTCACCCATTACCTGGGATATAGCGCATTAACAGATTTCTTCCCTATAATGGCATTAAAGGTGAGTAAAACATAAAGTCTACCTATCCTTCCTTTACTTTACAAGGTTCTATAGCTCAATGTTTTAAAGTTTTTAGAAAGTTAAGTAATATAAGTAATTTGTAAAAGTCAAAGTCAAAATCATTTATTTCAATGAGACCAGAATGACACAATTGAAACATGCACACACATGACAGACAAAAAAATTAAGTGTCTGTCTGTCTGTCAGTCTGTCAGTCTTCTAGTTGCTCATTCCAAGGTGTTGAAGGTGTAGATTCCTATGGAGAAGAACAAGCAAGAAACTTCATAGGTTACTCTTTTTCAATCAGGTTTACAATACACTTTTAGTTACATTGTTTTGTTGGTTCAGCTATGTGTTGGTTGTTGGTAACCGATATTATATTTTAATATTTTTTCAGCCAAATCCTCAATGCGACGACATGTATTGCCGTCTGCGTCGCGAGGAACATAATATAAAGCCTGTAGTGGAGGTAGCCACTGAGGTCACTGAAGACCTAGCACCAGTGCATACTGATAATAAATGGGGTATGTACTGATAATGAATGGGGGAAATCCTCGAAGTCTTATTTGTTTGGCCACATAATCTACTTTGTCAGAAAACTGCTTATTTAGTACTTTAATTGGTGTTTTTAATGTTTGTATGCATATTTACAGGAATCAGTTTGGTGGATGAAAACACACCAGAGGATGATGACTGCTCACACCTCAAATTAGTAGAAGGAGTTCAGGTACATAAATACTAAGATTTTAAATTCTGTTTTACTCCAAAATTTTGAATAGGCAATCAATAATCTTTTTTATTTTTTTTATCTAGGTGGCCTATAGTGTTCCCGTAGATAATAGTACCCCGGAATCAAGTACTGGTGGTGCCGTGGCTGCCTCTGAGCTCTCTCTCGAAGAACTGATGCAGCAGATGAAGTCCATGTAAACTTGTCCACCACCAACCAAGTACCCTGGTGGGCAGTCCACTCCATATCATTTAAACAAATTTTCTGGTTGTTTGCAAGCATTTATTTGGTTGTATGATAAAGCATTATGTGCTAGCGATTGTCTAAAGTTCTTTGAGATAGCAAAAATATGCGCATTTTACTTAATTAAGTTTTACTTAATCGGCCATAAAATATTAAGAGTGCCAATGCTCAAAGTGAAATTCTTATTATGTTTATATGACAGTAAATGTAATAATGATAAATATTATATGATGTATGAAAGTTTTTATATGAGTTCAAACGAAATGTGATGATTAACGGCAAGTTTTGGAACGTAATTGTTTTATATTTTTGTGTCTGATGCTTGACTGTTTTGTAATAATGTGTGTGTTAGCTAAAAGCTAAAGCATTTGTGATGAAGTAATTGGGGTGTTAGTGTAACAAAACATGGAGATTTTCCACTTAATCGATTGTTGTCTTAAGAATGTATCGAAATGTAAACATGTATGTATTGAATTGCTTCGTGAAAATGCATTGGAAGCATTCCAGCTTATTGTATAAACTATCTTATTATAATTTATTTAAGAGTCAATGAATAGTGTAAGTAGTATTTAATTTAATTTTTTGATGTGTTTAAAATTTTATACCAATATTGTTAGCTGCGCTGAGCTGAATATCATTATACACATTGTATTGTAACAATTTTAAAATATAATTAAATATCTGTCAGTAGTTTGTTTTTTATTTTTTCTATGCACATGTTCTGCTTGCTTGTTATTTTTTTGTTCTCTGGTGGCAGGGAGTTGCTCTGGAAACAAAAAAAGATACACTGAAAAAGGCATTAGACCTAGGACTGTACTTAGTGGATGGACCCATATTGTATTGTACTATTATTATGACTGTTATACAAATACACTATTATTACCATAACAGACTCCATGACAATCTTTGCTCTGGCGACAGTGCCAGGTCCAAGTCCTGCGGCGGCCGCGACCTGCAGTGCGAAGCTTGAGGTAGCGCCCCCTTCACACACGCGGAACAAGAAAACTGGCTCTCCATCTTGGATCACGTACTCGAAACGCTAATATGTGAAAGAATGTTTTCTGAAAACTTTGTATCCCTTCTTACGGAAAAAGGTTCGTAGAAAATTGGTTACTAGTGTTAATAATGTTATAAATTGGTCCTTTTATAGATTTTTAACCTTATCCCGTTGAAATAAGGTTTAAAATGTATTATTCTTCAGAGTGTTGCGTGGACTGGTTGGTTACATGGTAATGGGGACTCCCCTATATATACTGTTACTGATACTGTAATATCATCTTTTATGATATTTTATTTATTAGCGAAAACACAATTTCTGTGTTAAAAATAAGATTACAAGAGAAAAAGAAGATTAGAAGATAAATATTCATAACATTACCAGGTAGCGTACGATGGGCGTGTCTACGATGTACTCCTTGATCTGAAGATAGTGCGTGGCCAGCAGTACATGTGGACACTGGTCTCCGCGGAACAGCAGGGTGTTGAGGCAGGCCGCCAGGAGCGCCAGGCCATCCGTAGCAGAGGTACCCTTACCGAACTCATCCACTATTAGCAAGGAGTTTGATGTGGACTCTTGAAGAGCTAAGGCCATCTGAGAATGATAAGAATGCTGAAGTATGATGTAAGCTAAAAAAATATTTTGTGCATACTTTATAACCTACACTGTAGCCTATGACATAGAACTTGTAATTGGGTAGTTTCCTGGGTCAACTTTCATTCATTGATTTGCCGATATACTTCATTTTCGATTCTAGTATTTTTTTAGATGTAAGTGTGGTATTTGACGCGAAAATAATTATGATGACGTACTTAATTAGTTGGTATTTCGTGTAGAATACATAGAACTGTATCTTTTTTGACGTTTCGATAAAAGTATTAAATTTGACTAGTTGTCCACTACCGTATTAGGTCGTAACTATACAAGTATGGTTTAGCCCGCATGAACAGGGTGTTGCAAATGTTCATGGGCGGCGCTGATCACTTACCATTAGGTGACATGTCTGCTCGTTGGTTGCCCCAGATCGCACGAAGAAAATTTAATTCTACCTCTAGAGCTTTAGCATATAGTAAGACTAGTCTGTCTACCTGTCTCAGGTCTATGAGGAATGCAGACATGTGTGCGGCGACACACTCGGTGGTGTGTATGCGGGAGTGTATGTGTCGCAGTACTCCCAGTGTGGCCGCCTCCGCGGGGACGAAGCTGCCCACGTGGGCCAGGTATACTATCAGACCTAAACAGTATTCATATGAGTACCTGGCTACTGTGTTTTAAAATTCATGTCCGCTAATAACCGCCACCTCCTCAAACTACCCGGAATACCTTTTACTTTATTAGCTGTGTCACTGTGATGTCATATGTAGGTTAATTACACAACCATGTGTGGGAGAGTGTGGGAGAGCCATGCTTCGGCACGAATGGGCCGGCTCGACCGGAGTGATACCACGGCCGAGCAGAAAACCGACGTGAAGCAACGCTTGCGTTGTGTTTCATCGTGTGAGTGAGGTTACCGGAGGCCCAATTACCCTCCTCTTCACCAATCTCCCCAATCCCTGAATCCCCAACGATCCTCAAACTCCCAATCCCCAAAAGGCCGGTAACGCACTTGTAACGCCTCTGGTGTTCCAGGTGTCCACGGGCGATGCCGATTGCTTACCGTCAGGTGATCCGTCTGCTCGTTTACCGGCTTATGCAATAAAAAAAAAAACAAAAAAACCAGGTGTCGTTGAGTGTCACCTGTCTTAGCTTAGATGTTGCTTAAAATTTAAGAAATGATGGTGAAAACGGGCGTTTGAGTCCTTACCTATCTGCTTCATATAAACAGACTTCCCACTAGAGTTGGGTCCAGTGAGTATCTTGACACACCCAGCTTCATCACTGGACTCCACATCATTGGGTACGAAGCTGTCACACGTCAACATGTACAGCGGGTGCCGACCTGCCTTGATGCTGATGATCTTCTCAGTACTCAGCGTGGGTCGGACGTAGTTAAACTCTTTGCATACTTTTGATATTGCTATGAGGCTGCCGAGCGAAATTGTTGAAGTTTTGTAAGAAACGTACTTCTTAGCTAGCAGTATGGTTTTAAGACAAAGTAGGTATCCCCTTTTTTACTGATGTAAAAATATTATTTGCACTTTAAAATAAAATCGTTACCAGATGCCCACGGACATCTGGTAACGATGAGCTTGAGGTGATTACTTGATAATATAAGAGACTAATTTTTAGCTAAACCTGTCATGATACGGCGGCGGTATCAAACTATTTGGAAAATTAATACCCGAAAATAATTATGTTATAATCTTTTGTTTTTATGCTGTCCTATTTTGTCTCTATACTACATGCCTTTTTTTGAGGGGTAAAATCATCCAATAGCTCCTTCCGCCTTGGGTGAGGCGAGAGGGAGTGTCAGACTCTTACTAACAAAAAACAACTCCGTTAATTCCTACTTCTGCTTTTCGAGCCGAACCCGTTAAGTTCTCCGCGGCTCCGTATCGGTATCAGCCCTATTGGGTCCCATCTGTGGTGGTCTGATGGCTCTTTGAGGCGCGCGCGGAACGCTCGGCGCCGTACGCTCGGGTCTGGTTCTGATCGGACGGGGAGCTACCCGGGCCCGTGTGTACGGTTCCACTACACGCTGCAGTAGCTCCTTACCAGTCCAGCTCGGCACATTTGTGGACGAGTGCAGTGAGTGTGTGTAGATGCTCCAACATGACGGCAGTGAGTCGCATCATGAGACGTGTCTCGTGCGCCACTATCTCGGGGTACGTGTCGCCTATCATCACGTCCAGCTCTGAGGATCATAGTCATAGGTGCCAGGTCCAAGTTGAAAGTCGTTTTTATTGCAATAAAACCACATATGCGCAGCTTTTGAAACCAAAAAGTTTATATTAGGTATGAGGTATGCATTACAATGACAGGACATGATGGAGTCTTGGTAATGGAAATTGCTTAATACCAACCTTCGCATCCCTTACTTTTGTAATGAATGTAGTCGTTGTTTTGAAACTGAAAAGGAAAAAGTATCGATAAATAAAGTCGGAATCTGTAGACTAAGATTTCTAATTTTTTTAATATCAATAACGACCTCTTGCTCGAAAAAGATGCCTAGCAATGATTCATTTCTGAACCATCTTACCATGAACTTCATATCAGGCAGTTGTTTATCCTCAGCCGTGAGATTGTCATCCCATATCTTCACGCCGAGTAGATACCCGAGGTGTGGCATGTACAGCATACTGCACTCCTGTATGTATGTAGGCAGGCGTTCCATCTCCACCTTCGCAGTCTCTGACATTAAGCCATGGAGACTCGCCATTGTTTGTTTTTCTAAATATAGTTTTAAAGAGATTAGGTAGTCTGCTAAACATGATATCGGTAAAATTAGAGTTAAGCTGAAGCTGTTCATCATGGAGTTCCCTCGCTTAGAGAAGAAAGGAACTGTCAGATAAAAACCACCAGTGTCTGATGTTTTTAGCAGCAAAATAACTAATTCGTCATCTACATCTTTGTGGATGAAAATATTTACTCCTATCCAATTCAGGGTCCACTCCAGGCTTGACGGTAAACTTTCCTTCGGTTTTAGATAAATCGAAGTCTATAATCCTGTTCATGTATAAGGCCATCTGCAAACATTATCCAGTGTTAGACAGGAAACATACTAAGTACTATACCTGAATAGTCCTTTATGATCATGAAGTTAGTTACCTCATATAATTTGGAGTTGTCAAAGGATGCCAGTTGTTCTAAAAACCTGCTGACTTTCCCAGCACTTTCACACATCTCGCAGATCAGAACCGCGTTGTATAGAGTCTGGCAGTGAAGTTAAACGTTGTTTGTGTATTTTAGTAGGTTGATTTGCATTAAAAATATTTGTGTGGAAGAACTTACATTGTATAACGATTTCCACTGGTATGGCTTTGCGGATAGTGCTTTAATCTTAGTTAAAATTCCCTGAAATATGATTAAGTAAAAACTTTAGTTTCAAGAAACTCAAAAGGTACTTTGACGACAGACAGTTTCTAATCGAAAGTTTCTCGCTCGGATAATGATTCTGAATGTGCTTATGTATAAATTAGTGTGAACGTACATGCACGTTCTTGATGTATCGCAAGGAGGAGCAGATGTTCCTCATGAGTGCGTCGCTCTGCGGCTTCATGAAGTATGCTATCAACTCCTGCCGCATCTCCAGCGTCGCCAAGTCGGATGTTGGGTGTTGTAGGAGTACTCTGTAGAAGTCGTGAGTGGAAAATAGGAAACAAAGCAAGCCATTTTAATGTTGAATCGGATACTACCTACAAAGTAGGTACTACCTACCTCATCTGGCGCTGTCCGAGCTTGGACGCGCAGCGACTAAACAGCTGGAAGAGACTGAGTCCCTCCCTGCTGGAGCCGCGCACTCCTCGCTTGAAGGCGCTCGGGTGTGCCACTGCACTGAACACCTGCAGTCCGCGGTATGTGTCCTCGTCTATTGTTACTATGTCTGCCCTGAACAATGTAACCCAATGATATTAAAAATATAGTATGTAGATCTTCTTGTGGTTTTCCTCATACATTTCTACGCCGAATATGACACTGTACATCATTATCATCATCACAGTATTCACAATATTCATTAAAGTTAAGTACTGGTTAGATCTATCAGCGCTTAATTGGAACTTACTATTAAATCAATAATAAAATTAAAGTTTAGGAACATACAGTGAAATGATCCTTAAGCTTAGAAATTGTGGTTTTCCATGCAGGTCCATGCTCAACTTAGCCCAGTTTAGATCCAAGTATCTAAGCAGGGCGCCTAATGCGTGTACACTCTGTGTTTGAGAGTAATCTATGACGGTCCTCAGGTACAGAGACCTTTCGTCATCAGAGCAGTTTGCTGGCTCAGTAGGCAGGGAGAGAGAAGAGATGCGTCGCTTGCATGCTTCGAAATCTACAAGAGAAGTGGATAATTTGGAACGAGATGCTTATATTTTTGCTAGAATAAATGAACTGGTATGTGCCATAATAAAATTTTGTACTTTAAAGAATAAATAAATAAATGAACTGTTTAGACTGTCTCGATTGTACATAATAGTGTCACTGATTAAATGATGGTTTAAGTTTTCTTGAGTCTGACTAATTTTAAGCTCGATCGGAGCTCTGAATCATAAGCTAAGCTTGTAGCGATGAAGCGAGTCGAACTCTAATGCATGTGTGCCGAATTTACATACAATGTCTCGCGATAGTTATCATACAAGAGAGGTGTCTTGTAGGCCCTCTTCAGTTAAATAGTAATCATGTTAATACTCACTATACTCCTGAGAGGACAAGAACACGAGTTTGCATCGTCCCTCATCATTAGCGTCGCTGTCAAACACAGTCTTCTTCACAGTCTGCACGAAGGCACCCTGGTTCTTCCCATCCAGTAGGATGCAGACCGGTTCTACTTGACGATACAGGCTCAAGAACATCAGGTACTCTGGTGGACGGTCTACTATCTCTTCTAGGATAAATAGCTAATCAGAAGAAATAAGCTTTTTCTTATTCACGATTTTACACAAAAATAAGAGCGGTACAACAAAATGCCAGCAAATCAAAGCATTGAAAAAAAAATGATACATCTACGCCTCATGAAACCGTCGTAAAAGACCTGGCATACTTATTTACTACTACTATTTTATTAGATATTATTATCTACTAAAAAATAAAGAGACTAGTTGTTGACGTTAAGTACTGGATTATCTTTTATTATTATACATTGATATATTATTCATATTTTACCCACCTCGCCCGTTTGTAGGGTGCAGTAGGCCGCACCCAGCTTGCCTGACCGACAATACGCCACCAACACCCTCTGCGATATTGTAATAAAGAGGTCGAATATTTTTAAAATAGTTATCAGTGCTTTGGAGCTTACAATCTTATTCCTTTACAACTAAGTTGAAAGTCTGTGTGAAGTAATTTTCAGTTTAGAGTAGTGCCGAACACAAATCCAGGTTCGTGCTGCCGTGGACATCAGGTAACATGGGAACCGTACCTAAAGACCTTAAGGTCACAAATTCTATTCAGTTACTACTAACTTAGGCCATATTTAAAACCCTATCTCGTTTCTAAGTCTACAGGGGCTCACGAGCCGCACCCGATTTGCTACTCAAATATCAGTAGGTACATGTAAACCTGGTTAATTAATTAGACTCCTGCTGACACTGCCTGCGGTAATTAATCGGGATTTGTTTGGTAACATGACACGCGGGCATTGTGTAGAGTGTCGGTTTTACTTTACATTACTGGATTGTATTAGTTTACTTCTTCTGACCTAAGCATTCACGGTCAAATTGTATTTCATTTCCTTTCCTAATGACGTATTTAAATGTGTATGTAATTATTGGTAAGTTATGCTTGATGTGCTAGTAATTTTAAGTAAATATTTACCTCTTCCGTCTCAGTTTCCTCACTAGTTTCTTGTTGTCCAGTTGTTGTTTGATCTTCATTTCTAAAATAAATGATATTTTTTACAGCACCATTACTTTGCACTTTGCGGTTTCTTTTATCAAGAATATACTTGAACCATTAAGGTACCAACCTCCGACAACTTGCAATAACAAAGTGATTTTCTGATTGGTTATTAGAATTGTTTGTACTGCTGCTGCTTGTCTGTCGTAACACTGGCTCCAAAGTTCGATCTGACGAATTTTCATCCATTTTTAAAGTCTCCCTTGTTTGGTTTTAATTTTTCCCGCTTTTTCGTGCAGTCGTTTGGTATTTTTAGATTTAGTTTAGTCTATGGCATAATTATGTTTCTTTTTTTTAACTCTTTCATCTTATCAGCCAATCTTTTTGTTTACATTAAAAATAAACAAAAATATTAATTTTATTTGATTTACGCATTCCATGTTCAAAATTAGTCAGTATGTACTTATTGAAATTTTATTTTATTGTTATTGTAAGTTTGCTTTAGATTTTCCACCATAAAAAAGCTGTTGAAGAATTAAGGTAGTCCTACTAAAATACTCGTTGATAGTTCACTCATGAAATATTCAGTAGTTACATAGAAGTAAGTAATTGAAATATAGCGTGATGTTGAACATTTGACATTCACGCTTGTTATGACGTTATGCGGTCAATCGCCTGCTTTGTTGGGGTTTACGCTTATCAGTCGGTCCTAAATCCTAATCATACAACATAGTAAATAATAATGAAAAATAATGTAACATTCGGTCGGCAGTACTAAGGTAATAAATAAGAGCGTGCAATTAGGCTGAATGTATTCGTGCTTTTGCCAGATACAAGTACATTTTTTTATCGATGCTGTCCATAGACGAGGACCTAATTTTAAATTATTGATTTGAAAATAAAATAAATATACAGACTGTAAAACATTTATTTAAAACATTTACACTCGGCCTCGGCATTATTAGCTATAATATTGTTTATTACATTAATTTAATGTTTTAAAATTTTAATTCATATTATTAATTAAAATATTTATCTAGTCCTTATTTAATTACAATATACTTTGAGAAATAGAAATTTTTGTGCAAAAACAGTTTTTTCTTACAACAATAATAAATTTCCCACAAGGCACTTATGGCGAATATCTTTCATGTTTTCTTGCACCTGTTAATGTTTCCTTTTTTCATTATATAGGTATCTTTACATTATTAAGTATATTCAATATAATTACACAATAGGGGTCATCCATAAATTACGTCACACGAATTTCATGATTTTTATACCCCTCCCCCCGTCCTTGTCACAGCTAGTCACATTTGTGAGACGCCCCCCCCCCCCTAGTGTGACGTCACAATTTGCAGAATTACAGTATAGAAACTATTGTTTTTTCACTTATATTACTTTAAAAAAATATTAATGTCAAATCAAACAATTAACTTAATAAAAAACATTAATACATTTATGTTTCGTATTTTAACACAGATTAATTATTAGATTTTGAAATGTGACATCACAAAGTTTTGGATCCCTCCCTCCCCCTTGTCACACAATGTCACACTTCGTCGACCCCCTCCCTCCCCCTTAAGTTGTGACGTAATTTATGGATGGCCCCATAGGTACGTTTAATTTTAGTAATAATATTTAGTTAAAAAGTTTATCTTAAAATTTATGACTAGGTTATATGACATCATTTAATATTTAATTACAACTATGGCACAGTAGGTACATCACGCCTTATAATTTACAGAATTTACACTATCATTGCGTATAAGTTTTGGTTATATATAAAGATTCTTTCGCTTGAAGAAATTGAAGTCTATAGCCCAAGGGTGTCTTCGACTGGCGACCATGAACAGGAAGACGTGACATGGGCAAGAATCCCGCTAGGTGGACTGACGAAATCGTCAGAGTCGTGGAGAATCGTTTAATGTAAGTGGTAAGTTGTCATTTATTAAGGGAGGTCTTTGTTCATTGGTGGTCATCTTCCAGTTGATGATGATGATTTTTTAATTCCATTTTTAAACGATTAATAGATCCTTTTCCTCAGGAGCATCCTTCCTAAAGTTGACCCTGATATGCCTGCAGATGTGGCCCACGGCGTCTGCAGCAGGCACTACAATGGCTGCCATGCAGGACTGCACCATCGTGCGGAGCGATGCGAAGTAGATCTTCACGCAGCGGAGACACGGCGCTGTGCACCAGATTTGCTGTAAGAAAATTCTATTTAAGAATTTGCAATGATAAACTTTTTTTGTTTGAATGATTAGTTTTTTATTGTATTTAGCTTAGTGTTATGTCATATTTGTACAGTCAGCCAAATTAATTGGTATACTGATAAGACAATAAGAATGAATATACTTTGCCTGACACGGTAATCGAACCAGTATCAGACCATATCGTCGTCGTTTTAGCTTGGTATTAATTATTTACGATTGGGTAAAACTCGCTTCTCTATCGTATGTCTCTGCCCTGAGCAATATCTCATGCATCCGACATCGTTAATCCCACAAACCTTCGGATGACCCTGTCTTTTCTTGATATTTTAATCATTAGAATAGGTATCTTACTTCAAAAGCAAGACAAGCGAATCCGCAGCCGAGCAGTAGTGCGCAGGGTGGCGCCAGTATCACGGCCAGCACGGTGTAGCACCAGTTGCGAGCGTGCCGGAAGCATGCGTGGCTCAATCTCCAGGCGCACTCCGGGCTCCGTGCGCCTTCCGGCTCGCCAATGATGTCGTCCCATACTATCTGTTGGGAGTGGTTTTAAAGCTCATTTAGAAAATAAAGTCAATGTTTTCTCCATTTTAAAAAGTCGTATACTGGGTACTAGAAGGTAAAGTTAAATAATAGACATCACGCCTTTTATCTCCGAAGGGGTAGGCAGAGGTGCACATTATGCCACTGTACAATGTAACACCCACTTTTCACTATTTATGTTACAAGTCCCATGTAACAGGGGGTGAGTCTATTGCCATATACCGGGCACAATTCCAGACTCCGTGATACTACTGAGATTTTTTTTAAATACCCAGTATTACTTTGCCCGACCCGGGAATCGAATCCGAGACCCCTTGCCCGGCAGTCGCACTTGCGACCACTCGGCCAACGAGGCAGGTATTAAATAATAGAATTCGGTCCAAAACCTGATTGCCTTTTTCTGTTCACACTCCAAAGTCCCGTTTCTGTCCAGTATTGGATGCTCTTATTGTCTTACCTAAAAAGACTTAAAATTACTTGGTACTGTACCTATCTTTTTATAATTAACAAAATAAGTGTAATAAAACAATTGCACACTATAATATAACGGCCTCATCGTTCGCTTGATAAAATTGACGTGTAAAAGTGCTGCCTTGTAACCTATTTGCAGAAATATATTCACTCGTTTCACTTGTAACAGCGTCCTTGCGTTGTTTTGCGTCTAATCCTTAGAATTGCCTTAGTTATTGTAAACCTGTAATAACGTAATGCCCATACAATGGAATGGGCCGTGAATAAGGCAATCACTTGGAAAATCAATAACATACAGAATTGTATGATTGTCCATTGTGAACGTGACATAGGTTTGACATAGTTTTGTATATGCTGTAAGTCAGTGTGTCAATGTCACGGTCTTAGGGACTTAGTTTTTCAATAACACGAGCGGTCGCTACGAGAATTAGAATATTTTCTACATATGTTAATGAAAAGTAAGTATGTTTTTATAATAACTACCGTGAGACATACTAAATTAATTAAAACTCGCGGGTTACTCACGTGAATTTAATGAGAAAAGCTCTACTAGTTTCGAGCTACACAGGGGCTCTTCCTCATGAGCAGCGTGCGCGGTCGCGGCGATGTCGCGCAGAAGGTTGCGGTATTTTGAGTTAAAAGTAAGTAAATAAGATGATTGTGTGGCCTGGATTTTTATTAAATTAATAGAGTTGTATTCAGTAAATTAGTCTGACAGTTCGGCCACTACAGTAGAGAGCGACCAGTCGTTGACTATCTGGTTCCTTACATTGCATATAAAAGAATGGATGAAAGTAGGTCATCATTAACAGCCAATAAATGCCCACTATTGAGCAATGCATCTTCTCACACGGAGAAGAAGAGAAGGTTTGAGCATTAAACACCACGCTTGCTCAAAACGGGTTGGCGATTACAAACTTATAATTAGAAATTATAAGTCCAGGTTTCCTCACGATGTTTTCCATCACCTTAGAACGTACATATAACTCGGAAAAAGTCACATTGGTACTTGCCGTTTGTAGGTTTCGAATCCGCCCAGCGGGCGTCTTAAACCTCCGGGCCATCACAATGAAAGTAGGTACTTACGTTAAATAAAAATTGTTTAATTCCTATTTGGATACGACCGCAATGTGCTATAGGAAATATTTTCCAACTAAAGAATACGTACACTAATGTTGTTGAAATAAAAACTACCTATTCTTTTTAAGTACCTACATGTATGTGAACAAAATGGAAATAAATATATTTGTTTGTTTGTTTTTATTCTTGACAGCAATTAACTCAGTACTTACCCCCTACATATAATTTTGCCAATTTACCTTCTAAAGGTGAAAAGTAAGCAATTAATGAAGAACAATTAAACAGTACAGGAGCGAGTGACCCCTTATAGTGAAGTACCAGTACTTCAGTCACGCAACGTCTCGAGTTCTTTGTCCGGCTGACTACACTATACTTTTAATTAAAGCTTTCGTTTTGTAAAATTAGCATATTTGATAACATTTCTACTTGAATAAAAATGGTGTTGAGAATAGCCTGGCTATAAATTTGTAACACGAAAGGAATGCTATAAGTATATTTTATGAAGTTGCTTACGTTATTGCGAAGTGTGGCCTGTTCAAGGTCAAGTTTGAGTTCGAAGAAATAACTGTCTGGGTCAACAAATCAGTCACCAAATCAGTTTAATTAATAAGTGAGGTAGGGATACATTTATAATAAAAGATAATAACGATAATAAAAAAGAGGTTTAAACAATACAACCACACAGTGAGTTTGAAACTGTCTACGGCATTTCGTAGCCCGTAGCCGATCCTCGTATTTCGTAGCCGCGTAGCGCGAAGCATTAAAAACTTAATTTCGTCTTTGAATTATTAATTAATTGTAGAAATTTGTAAGTGTATAATTTAATTCATCAACAGTCTATAAATGCCCACTACTGAGCAAAGCATCTTCCTATAGGGAGAAGGTTTGAGCATTAATCACCACGCTTGCTCATTGCGGGTTGGCATTATATAAGTGTGGGAGAGCCATGCTTCGGCACGAATGGGCTGGCTCGACAGGTGTGATACCACGGCCTCATAGAAAACCGACGTGAAACAACGCTTGCGTTGTGTTTCGTCGTGTGAATGAGATTACCAGAGGCCCAATTACCCTGCCCTTCCCCAATCTCCCCAATCCCTGTATCCCCAACGATCCTCAAACTCCCAATCCCCAAAAGGCCGGTAACGCATTTGTAACGTCTCTGGTGTTCCAGGTATCAATGGGCGACGCCGATTGCTTACCATCAGGTGATCCGTCTGCTCGTTTACCGGCTTATGCCATAAAAAAATGTATAATTTTATTAAAGTAGTAATATTAATTGTATCACGCTTTCGAGGTGTACAAACATATTTCCAATATTTGTAGTTCATACCTAGTGTTGAATACTCAATTGAATTCTGGAAAATTACAATCGAATAATGTTAACGTGATATTTACCCACTTACAAGCATTTTCTTAGTCATTAAGAGACCCTTATATTGTCTACAGCTACCTTTATTCTAGTCTGTTCGAAGTTAATACTGTACAAGGTACTTCGGAACAAAAATAGTAATGTTTACTTGTACAGTAATGAGTTTATTTTCCGATTGACAGTGAAATATGATCGACAGCAACGTAATACTAGGTTTGTAGTTCAGGCTGATTGGATGATAACTTTGTTTACTTTGTAACATAGGTACCTAGTGCCCGGATACTGAAAGGCTACTCAAATTGTAAGTAGTTGTACTTAAATATCGTGCCATCTCTGTCATATTATAAAGAATTTGTAGAGACAGAACTATACTTAAGCGCGACTTCATATTTTGAGTAGCCTTCCAGTATTCGGGCGTAAGTCTACCTATATTCAGAAGTTCATAAACTCTCAGGTTTAAAGAAACTCATAAATGATTATAAAGTATTTAGTTTATGGTTTTATGTTTGCCTTTGTCCCTGAGGTAGGCAGCAACTAAAGAGAACCCAAGTACTTTGGTCCTTGCTACTTCTTACTACTTTATATTTCCATATTTATATATACATAATCTGCACTGTTAGCGCAGTGGCTGGGTAACTGGCTGCCGCGCGACGGACGGAGCAACTCTTTGTGTGATCCACAAATTGTTGTTCCGGGTCTGGGTGTCATTATGTGTATATCAACTTATATGTTTGTGAATGCACCCACGACACAAGAGAAAATCATAGTGTGGGGCAACGTTTTAAAATACATATATATATTTATTAAGCACGCCACCGGTGAAGGATATCTTATGTGAAAAATGAATTTAGCTTTTTATGACTTTTCTGTATCTGACGTCACAGTTCAAGTGCGAAATTAACATACGTCGTTATCGTCCAAGGTCCGACAAATACCTACATAATGAAAGGCTTTCTAAGCTTAATAGTGTATTTCCATAAATATAAAAACTCCTTGGAAAGCGGTTTCTAGCAGTTACTTCACCCTTATTATAATACGTCATAGAATTTTAACAACCCCGTGTTAGTGCTTCAAATGCTAATGTATATCCGGTGCTATTTACGTAGCTATGTATTTAATTCTATTTTCAAAACTTCCATTACATATTTATGCGAATTAATATTGTGGTGTGGAAAAAATAATTTTCTCTAAATTGTCCATTGTGGTGCACTGTTTTACCTATTTATTATTGAAAAATGGACATGGTACATTAAAAACCTACACGTTTCAAACAAAATTTTCTAAATAGTAGCAAGGAGTCTGGAATTGTACTCGGTATATGGCAATAGGCTCACCCCCATACATGGGACTCATAGCATAAATAGTGAAAGTGAATTATTATGTTTTCGTCTTACTCACGTAGTAATTCGACGAGGAACTCGACTAGTATATGAGCCTCTAGCATGGCTTGAAACTAGTCGAGTTCCTCGTCGAATTACTACGTGAGTAAGCCGAAAACATAATAATTTATTTAGTAGGTATATCCCACGAAAGTTACAATACAAATATAATGAAAAGTGGGTGTTAAATTGTACATTGGCATTATGTGTCGTAATGTGCACCTCTGCCTACCCGTTTGGGGCTAAAAGGCGTAATGTTATGTTAAAAATAAACAAACAACGACCTTTTCAAAATTACACCACTGCACCTGCTTATTAACTCTCAAGGTAAAATAAACAAACCTGCACGTGTTGGTTCAGGCTATTAGGGTCCCTGTCTTCCAACACTTCTCGTACGTTCTCCGGTTTCGCCGTCATCACGGTACCGGTTTCACGGGTTTGACGAACAAAGACCGGTTCTTCAGGCACGGGAGTCGGTATCAGCACCGGCGGAGCTGACACCGGCTCGGGTATCTCCGGCAGCAGTTTGGCTCGGTGATCGCAAGCTATGCACTGTCGTGATGTAGTCCGCGTTAGGTTCGGGACGGCTGCACCGCCGGACCCGAGCGGAACGTCCTCAAAGGCCACGGTAAAGGATAGTATATAAACTCCTTTAGAATTCCCCGAAAGAAATAAATAAAGTCGACTTTCTACCTACTTTAGTCAATGTTCACTGTTTGAAGTTTTCAAGTTGACTAAATAAAATCTAGTTTGTGTTATAAAGTAGTTTTTTAGTTACAATGTTTCGTTTATTTCAGTAGGTCGATTGTAATCGTAGTTTTTATCACAAAAAATAATCGGTTAAGTAATTAGTTGAAGTATATTTAGCTAATTATAAAGTTAATATTTACTATTTTAGTCGCCGTTTAACAAAAAGAACAACGAGGATTTTCAGTATGGACAGAATTATCTTGTTAGATTGTTATCTTCATTTATGATTTTGAATCGAACTGAGTACGTTACTTGGACAGCGTCCAATAAGTCCGACTGAGAGATTCCACTAATGTGTACACTACAGTGAAAGCTCGCGCTCAAACTGAAAACTTTTCATCAACCTTTACTTCTGACACCCTTTGCGCATGTCCTTCTTCTAAACTCGTAAATATCAACATGTAGCGCATCCATTGACGGTTTTACACTACCTTATTTTAAACCTTTCTCACTGAAGAAGCAATGGTTGTATTGTATAATGGGGTGTGCATGTTTTTTTATTTTGTTTTTATGAAGTTTTCTACCGGCTACTAGAGAGCGTTGACCGGTAATTCCCTACTTTAAGAATGCCTCCACATGTGATATATTTTTAAAGGTAATAACTTCCGGTACTCATTGGATAAGCAGAGTAATCGGGTGTAGTCAGGCGATGCTTACCGTGATTACAACGTTTAGATTTTTAATAATATTCGGTCAACATTTTAAGTAACTTGTAATAGTTTGTAATAGGCACGTTCTTGTAACTAGTTTGCGGTTGACAACATACTCCAATAAGGTATTTTAATTTATAACTATAGTAAAATATTTGAAAAGTAATATAGGTTTACAAACATAGTGGTCTCGTAGCCTCATTTTATGTAATTTTATATTTAGTTGTCTGTGTGTATACATTTCTAACTTAGATCTCATCAACCTAATATAACTCTAAAAAAATATAAGTTTTTTTTGAAGTTCAGGTCTCCAATCTATCGAATCAAACCCGCAACACGTTACTCCGCAGTCGATTGTCCAACCATGCACCAATTATGTTATTAAAATGCTTTGATATTAAAATTTTGCAGCGACCAAGCGTGGTTTGATGTCGCATAAAGTACCTGTGTACCTTCGTAAATGTTACGTCGACATTTTAAAATGTATGATATTTTCAAGTTGGTGTAATAACATTTGGGTGTGGACTGTTCAGTTTAATGGTTTTTGTAAAGGTCTTCTTAGTTTAAACTGTCAAACACCAAGCGGACACCGGTGACCGCAACCTATTGTTCTATAATTGTGTCTATAATGACGGTACTCGACGAGTTCAGCGAATGAAATTTTTAAATTTTTGTATAGATTATTTCATTTTCGTAGTTTGAAATTGAAACTCAGACCTCGGAGCAAGATTTACTAGAACAATAGTAAGAATCAAGTTAGGATCTCTTGGCAAATAATTATACAATTTTAGTAAAATATCCAATAGCATAGGACTAATGACATGACTAGTGAAATGTGGGTTTTACCAGCCTAATAGGTCAATATTTTCTCTCAAATATCTCTATGTAATAGAGAAATTTACTCTTAAACTCTATTATGTTGACATAAAGTCAAAAATCAAATAAATAAAGACAAATTAGTGTAAGATGATTTGCTGGCTCTGTACCTCGGCCTTCCACTTTTGACATTGAAATGTTTGACGTTATTATTTTTTTATGGCATAAGTCGGTAAACGAGCAGACGGATCACTTGATGTTAAGCAATCGGCGTCGCCCATGTATACCTGTAATACCAGAGGCGTTACAAGTGCGTTATCGGCCTTTTGGGGATTAGGAGTCTGAGGATCGTTGCGGGTTCAGGGATCGGGGAGATTATGTTATGGGTGATTTTTATAATAAAACAACAAACAATAAATTGTTATACAAATCTTTACTCGTAATATAAACGGTTTACACCCTACTCTATATACATGCACCGAACTTTAACTTACATGTTATGTACAGACATTATCTCGTATTACTTATATTACAAATTTTAAAGTCTAAACCAAATGGATTTTACAGTAACATTCTATCATATACTTCATATAAACGTAGCTTTTCCATATTGTAGCATAGATACGACAATGCGAAAACAATAACTGATTTATATATGTATTTTATTTTATTTTTATAATTATATAAAATGCTACCAATAAATCCATTATTATTATTATAGAGTATGTATTCAATAAATGTAACAAAATTAATATGAATAATATATTAATTAATGATTATTCATAAAGTTATATACAATTGAGCCGTTTTATATTAGATTTATTTTAATTTTAATCTTAAATATAAAATACTTCTTGTTAATTTTACTGTTATATTAATTTTATTATAACAAAATGAATAAACATACTAATTAAATTTTGATTACGTATATAGATCTGTATGATAAACATAAATGAATTAACTTATTTATGGAAGTATAAGTATTTCAATTAATTAATTTATCATGCATTTTCCTTTTATTATTGAGCAATTAGATTATTCATCCATACGCGTAAGTGACCAGCAGACTTGGCATGCTCATATCATAGCACCATTACAAAATAAGTTGTTACAGTCTACAAATAAATCCCTCAAATTAATTTTACCCTGACTACTAACACTATTTAATAATTTCACAAAGTTGTTCGTAGCTTAATATTATTATAATAAAAACCGCCCATTTATTATTTTTCACGTCATAAAATAGTGTTGCGACAATCGATCAGTGAGTTTGAGTAACGTTTCACGCCTAACCCGGTCACACCGCACCTCGGTCCGACCGACCCGGAACATTATAGCAAATGATTGATCGAGCCACAACCTGTCACAAAGGTTGCTTTGAGGGGAAGTATCAATTAAGGGACACAATGGAAATGGCAGGAGTCCCATCACGACTGGTATTAGCTTACAAAAAGCTTGCGTACAGGTGTTGTAACCTTTTTTGGTAGAGAATTCAAATAAATATGCCTGTAGTATGAGTTGATAAGGATACAAAATTCGATATATTTTAGCACCTATCAGTATATATGTCAGAATGTAGCATCTGAGCCTGTCTTATCAGCATCCTCGGTACATTCTGACAGTAAATAGCACCACTAAGTACATAAGTCTAGAGTTAAGTCTATATTAAAGCTTCAGTATTTAGCTTACATCGGAAGACTGTAACATTAAGATTATTAACTAAGTTTGCTTGTTACACAAAAATAAATTTACTAATATGATCAAAATTATACCTTTTTTCTTAAACACACAATTTCGTTTTGTGTAATCAGCTTTGACAAGTAAAACTAATCTTGATTAAATACAACAAAAAGCTTTTTACATAGCTTAAGTACATGACAGATGCGAATTAAAGCACTCTTCGGAGTCAATAACTTCACAATACTGTGTTCGTTAATACAATAATTATTTGGAAGAAAGTACTAAACATTACCACATTATATTGTTAATGGAACCTTTGGGAAAATTGGCGACGTAGAATCAATAGATAATCATCGACAGAATAGAAATTATAAACAATAAAACAAAGTGAAGTGTTAGAAAGAACATACATTTGTTTCACACGAGCTGCTTTATTCGAGCTTGCCTGAAAGAAAGGAATTTATTAAAGAACAGGTCTATAAGTTTAGTAAGAACCCTGAGCTATACACTAGACAGTGCGACCTCGCCGGCCTCAGGTCAAGAAAGAGAACTAAAGGGTATAATAAAAATAGCACAATACATGGTCGCCGACCCAAATTTCAGCAGCGGCGGCTCGCGTGACGAACAAACATACAGATTGCTAACACACCCATTCCGGCTTCCACAGAACACCGGACATTTGCTCGCCTCGCGGCTATAATGACTTCCAAAACTAATTTATATAAAGGATTACTTTCGTTTTATTAGTATCTTAATATTTACTTTTCGTAATTACAATTATGTTACGTTTTTGGGTTGGCACTTATCCTGGCCATCGTGGACTGCTTAAACGGCAAACCAATAACATATCAGGTAACAAACTCCTAATAAGTATTTAAGGTAAATAAATAGAAGTTTACATAGATTACAGGTCTTCATATACAAGTTTATGCTTAAGTTGCTAATTATGATGCCATGAGTCCTCGACACTTTCCTAAGTACTTCCAACTTGTATCAGGCTCACTGCCTCCATTTTTAATTAATAACATTATAACAGAGCTGTTTAGTAATCAATGATTCTTTATAGAGTGTCAGCACGTGAGTGAGTGTACTCTTGAGTGTTGGTAACTCAGTGTGAGTGAGTGTCAGTGAGTGAGCAGAGCGGTGCGGGCAGGTCCAGCCGGTCGCAGGGTTGGGACGATGGCGGGCTCATCTTGTTCGGGTTCCTCCTTAGTCGGCTCACTGCAGACGCGAGTGAAGGGTTAACTTGAGTACCTCGTAATGAGTTTATTAGTGTTTCGGAGAAAATGTCATGTTATGATGAGAAGATAGTATAGGTATTAATATGTCTAGTAAAGAAGCATGGCGAATTATTTTATTAAAACGTTTGGTTATTTCCTTTTCAACGTTTTATTTATTAGGATGGGTTTACTTAGTTACATGCAGTTTCAGGGGTTTCTATCTACTTTCAAGTACCACAGGCGTTACAACTAATAGTCACTAAAAGCTGATACACAAGTCAATTCCAAAAACTAACTTTTTTAATATAAAATACTGTTTAAAAGTTACTAAACCGCTTTAGATCTGAGTTTGACGGTAAGATTCAGTACTGTACGAGGGATTTAAGCATACGGCAAGCACTCACCTTGTATGCGCGCGCGCAGGGTTAGTGTTAGGTAATAGCGCTACTCCCACATATCACCACCTTCGGAAACACCACACAACAACATTATTACAACTACCTCAATATACTGCACTACACATACTAGGAAATACCTCTTATACTAAACTATTTTATTGCCAACTTATCATCCTGTACCTGAAGAGGCCAGCACACCAAGTAACTCCAATCTGTTTGTCTTTCAACTTTATTCTTTAACATTTTGTAATAAAGTCGAAAATAAATTGGGTTAGTTTGATTTACTGGTATTTGTTCTCTATAATTATGTTTGTTCATGGTGGCAATTGAATAATAAGTTCGTATAAAAGGTATTTGATTTCTGTAAGCAACAGTAAATTAATCAACTGTTTAACTACTGAAGTGTTATGTAAACTGCTAAACAGTTACTCGAGCATTAAATTAAAGCATTTCATATTTGTTTCACATGCTTTTTACATAGTTTCAATGTTTCATGCACATTCAACCTAATAAGTTGACAATATTTACTTCACATAATTGTATGTTTTAATTGTATTGTAATGTCTCCATATAATATAAATTTCCATCAGTTTTTTTTGGATATTTTAAGAAGTTCATTATTAGATGTTATAAAATGAAGATCTTTTAAATAGGTACTGAAAGAGACTTACAATATGAGGACAGACGCTACTATTTAACCAATAGATTTAATTTAATAGAATAATAATTCATACTACATTATTAATAGAATTACAACTTTATAACGCAAAAAATCTACTGAAATACATTGACAGGCAGTCAAATAAAATTATATTATTGCTTAACAATAGAATCACTTTCAGAATTTTTCTATATTTCCTTAAGAAGTAAAGTATGGAGTGCATACCTGATCTTGATGGGATGTCGCAGGGATAGATCAGAGCCAGACGTGGACCGGTCTGCGGCGGGTAGGAGACGTGGCGCGCGCGGCGTTAGCGGGGAGCCCGAGCTGCGTCCGCGCGCAAACTCGCGTCGGTAGTTGTCTGACACTGGACTACCGCTGAACGCAGAGCCTGAGCCCTCTGTATATTATATACTCAGTGGTTAATTTGGAATAGAATTCGAATGGCTTTTTTTTAAATAATGAGTAACTTATAATATTCTCGCAAATAGTAATGAACCGTTTGATAGTAAGTTAAGTATATAAAAATAACTTTACCGCGTCTTAGATTGGTCTGTAATATTGACAATATTAAAATCTTTCATGTTAATAGCATTTAAAGTATGCGGGACAAATCTCAAATTAAGAAGTCTCGTACTACGCAAATACTACGACGTAGCACGTGCTACGAAAATAAAACATGTAGGTATTTCGTAAACAATTTTCAATGATTCAGAATCGATATTTAGACGATTTTATGTACAATGATATCAAACAATACGAACTACTTGTAATATTCAATAACTAAAAATAAATGTACAATCGATAAGTTGTAACAATGAAGTTAGTACGGCATAATGCATGAGTGTAAGGCTCCTTACAGACTTTCCGTTTTAAAAATGACAATACTAAGAATTGTGGTGCCAAGAAAATGGCAGCAAAAGGGTTCAATTATGTACGTAAGAATGTTTTATGTAGAGTATAGGATACCTGCCCCGTTTAGCCTGTAACCGGAGCGTGTGAAACGACCCTAATGGTGTCCAAGCCGGCAAGTCTCGCCGACAGTCACCCAGAACACTAATGTACCCACTTCCGATGTCCCTGACCTGGCTGGCTACTTACTTTACTTACCAATACCTCGTATTGTTACACTATAAAGTTTGTTTATGTATTACGCATTTTTGAACTCGGTAAATATTATGTAAACAGTTTTCTTTTGCGTAAGAGCTTATATGTGGTTTAAAGTAGTTTGCCCAGTTGTATTTTTAAGTAAAACTAAACCATACTTATTTTGTAACTTCAATGGTAAAGCGAGGTATTGAAAAAATCATTTTAACTATTAATTATCTTCTGTATTAACCTGTGACCTGTCGGAACACAGGTCTACGTGAGATACAGTGTGTTTTCTATTGTGTCTCATATATCGACAAACAAGAGGTTAAATTACTTGTATTGCTAGTTACTGAAGATAAAAATTTGTTCTGAGAATTGGGATGATGACAGGGTATGAAAATTAAAAATCTAATTAGTCCGTAAGTTAGGTAATGAAAAAATATTAGACACGTATTTTTTATTTTGTCGTATAATAAAACAATACGTAGATAAAACGAATCAAAGTTTAGGAAAGTAGGGGCTAAAACGTCATTTCTATATAATATACATAGAAGTGACGTCACGCGATATTACAAATCAATAAATCGTCGAAAGTATTCGTTTCTGTAAGAAAATAAAAAATACGTGTCTAATGATTTAAAATAATCTAACAGACGGACATTAAAATAAAAATTAGGCATCTGCCTTATTAACTAACACTTTGTAATATCTACAAATAAATAGTAATTCCCATTTCTATCCAGCCTAGTTCCCATTCAAGTGTGCTCAACACTAGTGGTCAACAGTTGACGGTTATGGCGCAGGCGTCCCAGATTTAAATGCATTGGGGACGAGCGAGACTTGCATTCAATTACTGATACTCATACTTAGTTACTTTCTAAAAGTTATGCTATAACTTAGGCATATTACATAACGGCTTATTTCAATAGAAGAATTGATTTTTTTTAAGTCATCAACCGAACATCTTAGTTCACTGTTGGATTGCTCTTTTAATAGAGAGAAGAATGAACAACAGTTTACCAAAATTATTAAGAGGGATTTGTCACAATTTCTTATAGGGTTTGGCATTATAACTCTTGTCATGTCCAATCTGAAAGATAGTTAGCTACTGACCATTGTAAAGTTGTTGGGATGCGATGGGCATGCGTGCGCAGGCGGCGGGATGTGCGTGCGCAGCCGACCAGTCGCGGTACACACGTGCTCCACCACTTGTACGCCACGCTGATAGTTCTACACTGCGAATCTGTAACGGAATAATAGTAATTACATTGTTAAATAGAAATAATTAGCTTTCGTAATACTCAAATTTTCCTAAATCGCACTTAAATTTACTCGAGAATAATTTTATTATCTCTGGTGATAATTGCACAATCAGTTCAGTAGTATTTGAGTTTATCGCAAACGGATAGATTTTAATGATTGGCGAGGGGAACTTTGCTTTACAAAAGATACTAAGATATTAAAGACTGATTCATTGATTAAAATACGTACAGGTGTGGAGCTCTTGCTGCGCCCGCTAATCTCGGATGAGGCATTGCTGTGTCTCTGGGAGTCACGGGAGCGCTCTGGCGCCGGAGACTCGCGACATGAACCGTCGGGAGAATCACGAGGCTGTTGTAAGAAATAAATATATGCAATATCAATAAAATTGACAGTGAAATCGGTCACATTTGTCTTAGAATCAATGATGGTTGGAGAAGAAGTGTCCTGTAATAGTGATTTCGCCTAGGCACGTGCAGTTTAGGCCGCCCTCCAGTTAAGTAGTGTAACGATATTTGTACAATGACTATGTCGTCATAATTGTACGCTGTTAGAGACGCTGACTAGCCGAGAACAGTACGTGCCCTGATGATGACAGCGATATTCATAGCAATGTGTAAATAAACCACACACTCAAAACCCTTATCCATTTTTTGCCATAAAACTACAATTTTAAAACAACAACACGTTTTCGTCGTTAACACAGTGATAATGTAACTTTGTTTTATTTGTCTATTTATTTTACTTCAACATGCAATGCAATAACAAGCTATTAACATAACTATTGATGTATAACAATACGACCATAACATAACATGTAATCAACAAATAACACCATGAAGGTTACACATACTTGTTCTCACAGTTTGAGGCAAGGTGACCGTCATACAGACGTTGTAGTGGAATCATTCTCATTTTTGTTATAATCGTCATAATTATATCATACTATGTAGGTACGTAAGTCAAGTGGATGTGAGTGCAACTGCCAAACAACGTATCTCAGGTTGAGTCAGGTGTCTAGGTCGAGTAACGTTATTATTGGGATATTTTAACATTTCTCTATGTTTATAGTACGGACTTTGGAATTGTGCATTAAGCTCGGCCTCTATTACATAGGAAATATTATAATATATAATATACCGTATAAC